CAGAACCCAGCTTTGTGGGTAAAACTGAACAGAGGAGCAGCCCACTGGGGCAAATGAGGACATGAACTTGGGGTTGAAGCCCAGGCTTTTCCCCTTGGAGTGATGTGGGCTGCCCACAAATTTCTCTCTCTGATTGCTGTAGCCAAAGCAGACATGGAAAAAAGTCCCATGGATTCACCAAGTTATGGCAAATTGTATTTTTTTTTTTCATTTGAAAAGCAGAGAGCAAGCAAGAGAGTGAGCACATGCATGCTTCCATCCACTGTTCACTCCCCAAATGCCTGCAACAGTCTGCTGGTCCAGGTGGAAGCCAGGAGCCGGGACTCCATCCGGGTCTCCCAGGTGAGTGGCAGAGGCCAAGCAGTTGAGCCAACATCTGCCACCTTTCCAGGCACGTTAGCAGGGATCTGGATTGAAAGTGGAGCAGCTGGGGCCTGTGCTATGGCATAGCAGGTAAAGCCGCCACCTGCAGTGCTGTCATCCCATATGGGCACTGGTTCGAGTCCCAGCTGCTCCACTTCTGATCCAGCTTTCTGCTGTGGCCTGGGAAAGCAGTAGAAGATAGCCAAGTCCTTGGGCCCCTGCACCTGTGTGGGAGACCTGGAAGAAGCTTCTGGCTTTGGATTAGGTGCAGCTCCAGCCGTTGTGGCCAATTGGGGAGTGAACCAGTGGATGGAACCTCTCTGTCTGCCTCTCTGCCTCTCCTCTCTCTGTATCTCTGACTTTCAAATAAATAAATCTTTAAAAAAAAAATGTGGAGCAGCTAGGACTTGAACTGGTGCTCCTACATAGGATGCTGGTGTTGTAGGCCGTGGCTTACGCCACTGTACCACAACGCCAGCTCAAGGCAAGTCTATCCTTTTTTTTTTTTCTTTTTTGAAAGATTTTATTTATTTGACAGGCAGAGTTATAGATAGTGAGAGAGAGAGAGAGAGAGAGAGAGAGAGCAAGGTCTTCCTTCGGTTGGTTCACCCCCCCAAATGGCCACAGTGGCCAGAGCTGCGCTGATCCGAAGCCAGGAGCCAGGAGCTTCCTCCTGGTCTCCCATGCAGGTGCAGGGTCCAAGCACCTGGGCCATCCTCCATTGCCTTCCCAGGCCACAGCAGAGAGCTAGACTGGAAGAGGAGCAACTGGGACTAGAACCGGCACCCATATGGGATGCTGGTGCCACAGGTGGAGGATTAACCTAGTGTGCCACGGGGCCGGCCCCGGCAAGTCCATTCTTATCTACACATCTCTAGCAAGTGTTTCAATGATTTTGAAGGGAAAATCTGGGGATCTTTTGTTTTATGGTAAGCACTTTATGGAAACTTACAGAATCATAGGAAGGCAATTTCTGGGATTCACAGGGCAAATGAGGGTGTTACAGGGCTGCCACAGCTGTAGATCAAAGCTAGGACTGTGGGGTAGCAGTTAGGCTGCTGCCTGCATCCCACGTGAGTGCTGGTTCGAGTCCTGGCTGCTCCACTTCCAATCCGATCCAGCTCCCTGCTCATGCTCTTGGGAAAGCAGCAGAGGATGGCCCAAGTCCTTGGACCCCTGTACCCATGTCAGAGGCCTGGAAGAAGCTCCTGGCTTCAGCCTGGCACAGCCCCACCCCAGCTGTTGCAGCCATTTGGGAAATGAATCAGTGGACACAGACCTCGCTCTCTGTCTCTCCCTCTCTCTCGGTAACTCTGCCTTTCAAATAAATAAAATAAACCTTTTTTAAAAAAGAAGCAAAAAAAAAAAAAAAACCTTAGGACTAAAACTCATGTCTCAGACTTCTACACTAAAGATCTTTCACAAAACAAGGGTGCTAGGAAGGGAGAGATGGAGTTTCGCTTTTCCTTGACGATGTCTTGCTAGGATTGTGTCTGGCTAGGATTCCTAGTCTCACACCAAACCTTGATGCTGTGATCACGCGAAGGCTTCTTTGCTATCACTGAAATATCCCCCCTTGACGTGAGGAGAGGGCGAGAGAATTCATCTAGTGAATAGAAAGCCACCCTCTGTGTCGCTGAAGACTGTTCTGGCATATGCCCCAACACACTTGAGGGGACCTTAAAAAGTTTGTGGAAAATAGAATCAAAAGATAAATTTATTTTGATGCAACAATTTTGAAGTCCATAGTTTTTTCATAATATCCATTTTCCATAGACTTAAAAAATACACATGTTGGTATTAGAGAGATAACTCCCATCATTGTTTCATTCCCCAAATTCCTGCAACAGCCAGAGCTGGGCCAAGTTAAAGCCGGGAGCTCAATCCAGATCTCCCACATGGGTGGCAAGGACCCAACCCCTGCCTCTCAGGGTGCACAGTAGCAGGAAGCTAGAGTCTGGAGTGGTGCAGGGACTTGAACCTAAGCACCCTGACAGGGGACATGGGGCCCCAAGTGGCATCCTAACTGCTGAGTCAAATTCTGGGCCCCTCTGTAAGCTTTCTGAAGTCCCTGTGCAGTGGCCATAAGGATGATGGTACTCCAGATCAGACACCTGGGTTCCAATACCAGCTCCGCCTCCCAAGCTAACTGATAGTATCTTTTAGCCTCCTCCCTCTGTCAGTTAAAAAACACAATCCCCCTTCAATGGAGGTGTTGATGTTCCGTGCTTGTCTCTGTAAAGAGACCTGGCGCGTGGGGCACTCGCATGTCAGTTACCCTTTCCTTTTTACTGGCTGAAAAATGGATTTGTTCGCTGCAATGGATCTTTAACCTGTCCTTTAAAAAGAAATGTATTTGTAAGGTAGAGTTATAGAGCGACAGAGATCTTCCATGAGCTGGTTTATTCCCCAACAGCCCACAATGGCTGGGGCTGGGCCAGGCCAAAGCCAGGAGCCTACAACTCCATCTGGGTCTCCCATGTGGCCTGCAGGGGCCCAAAGACTTGGGCCATCCTCTGCTGCTTTCCCAGGTGCATGAGCAGGGAGCTGGATGGGAAGTAGAGCAGCCAGGACTTGGACTGGGGCCCTTATGGGATGCCAGCATCACAGGCAGCAGCTTAACTCACTACGCCACAGCGCCAGCTCCTATAGTCTGTTCTTGAATATGTATTCCCATGGTAGCCACACTTTGAAGCAGTTAAACAGTCTGGCAAAGGAAAACAGATCTTAGAAACCTAGTATTTGACGGCTGGTATACATCTTGGGGAGTTTTGCCGTGGGCTGTAGCACACGAACACACATTTCTGTCTCCCAGTGAATAGCTCAGTCACTCCAATTTTAGCGTCTCCTCTTCAGCTAGTTTTCCATTCTTCTGTTTTGACAAAGTTAGGCAACTCTTTTCGTTTGCAAAGCTGTTATATTGGGTGCATTACAAAAACATACACAAAATCATTTGGCCTCAAGGGGGAGCCATTGGCAAGTTTCTAAAACTCCAAGTTTCAAGTGGTAATTGTCATTGACAGAGTTTCCGAAGGCCAGGCTTGGTGCAGACGAGGACCGGAGTCATCAGAGTCATGTTGAGGTGGGAACTGTGACCCCAGGAGTCCGGGAAGGGAAGTAACTGAGAAGCCAGGCTCTGAACGCAGGCCTGTGGTCAACACAGCCTGGTGCTCCACTCAGTCTGGGTGTCCCTTCTGTTGGATGCTCAGCAAGCCCAGTGCCACACACCTGAATTCCGCCCCCGCATCTTGTCCTGTTTGGGAGCTTCCAGCCTGTGGCAGGGGTGCCACCATCCACTGCCTTCCCAGGCTTGCTATCAGGAAGCTGGGAGGAGGCGTCACTGTCCCGTGAAAATGTCTCTGTCCGCTTAAACTCTATGAATGCATTTGGTAATGTAATGAAAAATGTAGATGGATGGATGTGGAAGGCACTAGATTTGAGGGATCCTTAAAAGCCTGCAAACTGAGGAAACAGTAGGAACACTGCCCAAAGTCTGCAGAACTTGGTGCCCAGAAAGGACTACACAGCAATTCATTTGCCCGTCGTGTGAGGGCAACACTGCCCACTAACGCAAACTCTGCGATCTTGGCTATGGCACTGACCTAGTCCAGGTGCAAATGGCTCGCGCAGGCTTTTGCATAATAACCAGTCATAGCCCTGACCTTGCACACACACATTCACATCTGAGACGAATGTCTGGAAGCAATGCTTATCACCCTTAACTGCAGTGCCCTCTCAAGTTTGCTCATCAAATTGTCTTTTTAAATACCACCTGCCTCATGCTAACATGAACCCTATGCTCTCCCAATTGTCAAGATACGGAAAACACTGGTGGCCTGGGGTTATCTTTGCGCAGAACTCTTCTGAGAAGCCGAGAGGCACGTTTCCACTGTGTTCTGCCAGGGCATTCTCCGGATGCAGGATACCGGGCTTAGCATTTCCCTGATGCTGCTGCCACCTCCCTCGGCGCTTTTCCCAGCCTCTCCTAGTGGCTCCTGGGTGCCCCGGTGGGAAACTCTACTTTCAGGAAGCTTCAGAGGCCGCAGTGCCTCAGGTTGTAGCCAAAGGCCAGCGCCGGCCCTTACTGCGTTCCCATCATCAACTATCTCCCTAATTTATTTTTTCCTGTAATTCAGCCCACAAAACTTCCTGTCCCATCTCCTCCCCCTGAAGCGGAGAGCTGGCCTGGCTGGTATTGAAAATGTGTTTCCGGGTATCAACCTTGAAGAAACACAAAACGTCAACTCTTCTCTGAAGGCTGTTCTGTAATGTTTACACAGCTCTGGCTTACCCCGTGTCCCTCGGAGCTCAGGGCGCTTGGGGAGACTTGGAAATGCCAGGGCGACAACCAGCCTCTGGGCAAACCCAGCAAGGCGCAGACTACCAACTTTGTTTGCACAGATGCAAAGGCATGGAAATTTATACAGCAAGGGCCGGATGCCAAAGTGTGTGTGTTTTGTTTTTAATTACACACCCAACCAAATGCATAAAACTCAAGAAAATGAGTGTGGAGAAGATGTCATCTTGCCTATTTTTAGGCTGAAATATGGAGCTCTTAAAAGTGCGGCTGCCATATTTCTCTCCCAGATAAAGTGACTTCAGGGCAGGAAGACCACTTACACTCACACACACACAAATCAGTGGTAAATAGTTTTTATTCAGGCAATGAAACATGGAAAAAATATATTAGTAATCATTATAATTTCATTTGTGTGAGTATAGCTTTTACAAATATTTACCTGACATATAAAAAGGGAAATTACTATGTATATAAAATTTATGTAGATGATTATCCCACACGACACAATCCTGACAGTAGTCAATGCAGCGCCCGCCCACCCACTCGCTGAGGGTCCTCGTGTGCTCCGTGGCACCCAAGGGGACACAGTGCAGGACGCGCAGTGGACACTGGACTCGTTGGCACATTAGTACAGTGGGGGAACTAGTGGCAAACACGCACTGGCTAACAGCAATGCTGCAGAGTTGACTGCTACCGCTGGGATCTAGAAGAAAAGCCTGGAGCCTGGGTGGAGGCAGAGGCTGAGTCGGGGCGGGCGGTGGGAGGGGGGCCTGCACACTTCCCTGTATCTGCACGGAGGCTGGTTTTGGAGCCCACTGGAAGGTCATTTGTAAATATGGGCTATCAGTTAACCACATGATGGGGAAGTACTTTTTTTGGAGTCTAATTCAGATACCACTGAAAGGCAGAGTGGGGACAAAGTGGCATCTTCAGAATCGATACAGGGAAGTCAGGCCACTGTCGGCCCCAAGCCTGGCCTCCGCTCGGACGAAAGCAGATGGCCCAGGCCAGCACTGCACACAGCATCCCCGTGGTAGGACAGTGGCCAGAATACATATGTAGTAGCTGTAACCATATTGCAGTTGATAAAGTCATTCCTTAGGAATCTTGTGTGTCCAATTCTAACTGCATGCTAAGAGGCACAGAAATGGGATTGCATTTGGATTAAAAGAAAAACAACTATGAAAGTGCAATCTTTAGTCTCCAGAAGCGAGCTCGGGCACAGGGCTCCAGCGGTCACTGGAGAACGCTGTCACTCAGATGGTCTCCAGAGGAGACCCTCAGACACAGGGTCTGTAATAATTTATTTTTAGCAATTGGGAGGCTATAGGTTTGAGTGGTAAATTGCTTCCTCAAAATAACTGGAATCTGGAAGCCAGGCAACCCTCTGTGGACAGAAATCGCCTCAAAATACCTCTTTTATTAAAAGCCTCTGAAGACGACTTCTTAGACCTTTGGCTTGACATCCTGGGACTCCCAGACTACATCTGTTCTCTCTTAAACTATTCAGAATATATACATCTGCATTCACAGTCCTTGCTGGACTCGTTTCATCTTTCAAATCCCAGTTTGACTCTTTCCAAACCGGAGTCGGCGTGCAGGCTCGCGGCTCATGGCTGCAGATGACAGCCGCCTACGAACGACTCAGGAGATGCTCACCGACTGCGGGGACACCGAGGAAAGAAAAGGAGAGCTTGAGGCTCACTCCGCTCAAAAAGGATGCACGGAGTCACGTGGGAGTCGCCGCGAGGCCCTCTGTAGCCTTTGCTGGCAGGGAGCGCTTCCACCCGGGGAACACCTGCAGGGGGTTTATGCCGCTGAGTGGGCAGGACCAACCCAGGGCTGTCTGAGACCTAAGTCCTCGCGTCGGGGGCGGGCACAGAGAGCAGCCGGCTGGAAAGAGAAGGCAGCCTGAGCTGCCCTCCAAAGCCAAACGTAAATCTCCCCTTGGAGGCCACAGCACTCTGGCCGGCTGCCAGGGCCTCCGAGCCTTGCGCCCTCATGTGCTTCTGCACTTCCTAATTTGGGCTGGGTCTGAAGAAGCCAGAAACCACATGTGGAACGCGGGGCTTCTCGGTGTTCCCGGAGCAGCCTTGCAGAACAAAGGGCTCGGCAGGTCGCGGTTGCAGGCAGAGGCCTGTCTCCCGTCAGCACACCGCAGGGAAGGACACCACACGCCTCGGCAAAGCCGAACACTAGGACAAAGGCTTGGGACCCGGAGCCCAAGAAACCACCCGACGTCCCCGAACCACACGCAGGCCAGCGGCTGCCTCCTCTTCCCCCTGCATTTTGGTGACAGGGCCCTGCATTGCCCAACAGGCAAGTGACATCAGGCCCTCACATGTGCTGAAGCAACCTCTAGACTATATTCTATATATATTTTAAATATATTCTACATTCAAAAGTTCCAAAACCTTTTTTGCTTGGTTTTAATGGAAAGTAAACATGCTTCATACTGCCTAGTCTATTTTCTTGACTTGCCTGATGGGTAAGACACACTTCAATTCTCCTTGGAGAGCAGCCGTCTAGTACATCGGACTGGCGCACACGGCCTTCTGATAGTGCGGCTGAGCAGCCAGCAGCAACTGTGACTTAGCGCGGGCGCCCGTGTGCTTGTGCAGCATTGCGTTCACTGGGGTCTAGTTTTTAAGGGGGTCCTCGGACAGACTGTCACCCGCTCTGTTCTAACACATACTCTGCACCTTTAGAGTAGCTAAGTCTATAAATGGACGCCAACCTGGGCCTTTCCTACTTAAATACATCAGCATAAGACAAGCAGACATGGGTACGTCACCCAAACACAGAGAGGGCTGGCACTACTTCTTTCAGCACAAGCCAAGTTAATTTTTCTTGTTGTAGAGAAGACCAAGGCAGCAGGTGGGTCCCGGCCGCAGGAGCGACACTTGCACTTGACATGGAGGCGAGAGCGATGCTCACGGGAAACCACAACTTCCAAGGCCCAGATGATTGTCAAGCCACCTCTCCAACCACAGCCAGCCTGTTTCTGTTTTTGTTTTGTACAAAATGTTAAGACGATAGGCTTCAAAATGCAGCCTAAGCACCGAGGGTGATAAACGCGTGTTGGTGAAACGGGACCTCTGCTTTGAAAGGTGCTCTCGACTTCCCTGGGGCTGAAGACCGCACCTCCGTGAACACTCTGCTAGGGAAAAGACAGCTTCTCAACACCTACAGAGGCTCTCCACTAGGCGCACTCCCTGCTGAGCTGGGTCATGTAACAGTCTCGCAGCATGGGAGAGGTGCACGAGCTGAACGCAGCGCGCGGCTCCGTGGGGATGTGTGAGGGTGGGCGCGCCTGGAAACACGCGCGTGGATCTGGTTTTGCCTGACACACGGGAGGGGATCCACTGGTGTCCCGTGGAAAACTCGCAGTGGAGGGTTAATGCTGAGCGGGGCCCAGTGAGAGCTCCGGGGACTGGGTGCTGGGAGGCTGGTCCTCCCTCCTGCTCTCCTTCCCCAGCATCCAAACGGCCTCTGTTTGAAAACATTCGAAAGGAGCCGATTTCTGGAGCGGTTCATGTGATTTGTACTGCCTGTTTAGTTAAAAATACTATCTCAACTCTGAAAGGACTTTCTGATGTTGGTTTTTGTTGTTTTTTAAATATCTGAAGAACAGTGCATCACATTGGTAAGTTTGAAAAAAGTTTCTTTACCTAGTATTGGCTAATGCGGCTCGTTACTTTTTAATTAAATGAGACCATCTAAACCTTTCATAGCTGATTTTCTCTGTGTATCTGAAAGACAGCAAAGATCAGGTGTTGATTCTGCAACAGTGACAGCAGCAGAGGATTCCGAGCGACCCCAGGCCAGAGCTGCCAAGACCCAGCTTAGCGGGAGGCCAACCCCATGGTTCACACGGAGGCTGAGGAGGAAGCCCTGGGGGTCACACCCCCCAAAGCTGAGGTGAGACCACGACGGGACGGCCAGGAGCCCTCCTCGTCTTTTCCCTGGCCTCCAAATCCTCCAGTTGGCATTCAGAGCCAGGACTCTATTTAGAAACGGGGTTTGACGTTCACAGAAACACGTTCTTGCGCGCGCTGGATCTTATTTGACTGTGCTTCAGGGAAAAGCAGCAGCACATGGAACTGTGTAGAGAGGAGCGTGTGACCGTGGGGGTGCAGGTACTCAGGGCCCCTTCTTGTTTGCAAACTGCAAGTAAGATCAGATCAAATTATCTCAAGTAAAACCAATGGCACTGGAAATTACAAGACTAAACAATAGGTCACACAAAATCATCGGGTGGTTTTAGAAAGGCAGTGACAGCAACTAGAAGCCACAAAATCACAAATGTAACACGCTTGGGGTAAGAACCATGGAAGAGCGAGGAGTCGGAGGCCCCCGTGTGGTGGTCTGTGTGTGCAGCTGGCAGGGGTGGGGGGGAACGGGCAGCGCCCTTCCTGACCCTGTGGAGCTCGGGGCTTCTCCCAGGGCTGTGGCGTCGTGGCAAAGCGGGACAGGCATTGGTAGCCATGTGCTTTTTCAAAGTCTGTTTTTCTCTGCAAAGGGGCGATTACTCCTGGATAAGGCAAGGTAACTGTGGTCAGGAGAGAAGCAGCCAAATGCACTATCTGCTGAGCTACGGGAGGGAACCTCAGTCAGTCTTTCCCAGCTTGGCGATCAGCTCGTCACAGATTTTCGTCAGTTCTTCAATTTCTTGGTTCTGAAAGACAATGGACATGGTTATGCAGGCTCCATTGGCTAAGCAGTCCCAAGACAGGCTATCCGCTTCAGGCGGACCAGATGTTACACATGTGCAGACATCCTGATTATTACTATGTATGACTAGACCTCCTAATTCAGTGATTCAGCGATCCTTGCACAGCACGGGGTGGGGGTGCCCTGTCCACAGGGTCACTTGGTCCAGCCCCATCAAGGCCACTACAGCAGGCTAATGTTTTAAGCTGATCATTTTGCATGGCCCACGAATGATATGGTAAATATCCAAATGGTCCTTGGTAGAAACAGGTGCCCCGTCCCTGTGAAGAAACAAGGGCTGGGCACCTCCTCCTCCAGAAACGGACACGTGCTCACAACACTGTTTAGACTGAGTGGGGGGCGGGGGCAGGCACTAGGCTGCTGGAGCTAGCCCGGGAACCTCAGCTCCCAAGTGTTCCTGTTAGCGCAAGAATCCCTTGGGGTACCTGTGAAAACCACAAGTGTCTGGATCGCCCTCAATGTCTCTGGGACCTGGGATTCAGGCATATGATTATCCTAGATAGCACTGGCTTAGGAACTGTCAGAATAAGGACCCTGCTCTAGCCACAGGCCTGAGCACACAAGCAGAGACTCAGGAAACCCAAGAGACACTCCAGTCGAAGAGCGAAGCCTCAGACTGCTGAACAGCGAGCCTCAGGGGCCGTGGCTACCACTCATCTCCACTATCTGCAGCAGCTTCCCAGCCCTTGCAACGCTTGCTATGGGGCCAGGCAGGTCCTCGTCTGGCAGCATCTCTGGCCTCTGCCCTCTGGATGCTCCCAGTTGTGACAACCAAACCCATCTCCAGACACAGCCCACATCCCCTAGAAGGCAACGATGCCCTCACTTGGAAACCACTGACTGCAACCACTGAAGAGGGAAGAGACACAGCCACATATGACAAACAAAAAGGGTGGTCTCGTGACCCTAAGAAGCCTTTGGTCCTCCAAACTTACAACACCATGACCTCTCTGCTCCCAGCCCGAGGCTGTCTCACACGACAGGCCTGGAAGAACAATGCTTCGACTTTTTGTCTCCACCTGAAGCAGTTCACTGAGGAGCTGGGTTGAGGTCTGCATACAGAGAGGCAAGGCCTCTCGGGCTGAGATCCACTGTAAGCTAAGCAGCGCCAGGACCGACGGCAGCCACTGGCCTCGTACCTTCTGCTGCAGGGCCCTCTCCAGGGACTCCACCTTCATCTGCTCTTTCCGGAGTCCGGCGTGGAGAGCCGCGCTCTCGGCCTTTGCTTTGGTCCGAACCTGAGCGATCTCTTCATTGGCTCTGTTTATGGTGTTTGGTTTATAGGAGAAAGAGAGAAAAAGCAGAGTTAGCCACCGATCACAGCCAGAGTCAGGATATTCATCATGGACAGCCGTGTGACACAGGCCCGAAAGGACTGACTGCGTAGAAGAGAAAGAACTGGTGACCGACATAACTCAGTAAGAACCCAATTCACGAACAACTGCTAAGGGAATTTCTGTGGCACAAACCAATGACGGAATTAATCTCAAGCACCACAATGTTTTCACAAGAAAACGGAATTATAAACCAGTTTCTATGATGGTCTTAGATTAAAAAAAAAAAAAAAAAACCAGTGTAATAGTGGGCTGGATCATTTTGGGGATTATCACAGTCAACAGTCAGGACGTGTAGCCACTGACATGGACTTGATTAATGAGATGCAGAGGGAAATGTTAGAAACCAGAAATGTCAGAGGGCAAGCAGCGGGTGAACGGCGACAGGATGCTGAGACTCCGCTCGGAGCCAGAGGTGTGCAGATGAGAGTGAGAGGCTTGGATTTACCACACGGCTAATACTAAAAAGGGCGGTCTCGTCCTAGGTCCTTGAGAAGAAAACAGACTCCCACGCTGCTGGGAAAGATGGAACTGGTCCTGTCCCTGTGGAAGGCACCACCCCCACGAGGACGATCCGAAACGCAGCCACCCCATCCCACGTTCCGTGATCTCCTCAGAGACATCCACTCAGCACGCGGTGGTCCCTGCCACGTGGTCTGCCACGGGAAAGGGCTGGGTCTAAGAAACGCCTTTCAGTAAAGAAACGGCTGAAGTCCTGTAACCTGGCAAAGACTGAGCTACAAGCCTATGTGGGAAAATGGCCTGGTAAACCCTCAGTGAAAACAGGAAATGTGTGTAACATGACTCTAATTAAAAAAAGTTCCAAACCATTTTGGACAGGCACACAAAGAAAGATCTAGAAGGATATTCAATAAAGCACACAGTACCTGTGTGAGTGGGAAACAGTTAAAAGTTTTACAAATAGGAATATAAATGGTAAAATGTGTAAGTATAGATTACTTTCTACTTAAGAGAATACCATTCCCCAACATAAGTTCCAAATGTACCGGATGTGAGAATTAACCGAGAACGTAAGAGAAAAACTAAGCTATTGAGGCTAGTGTTGTAGCACAGTGGGTTAAGCTGCAGCTTCTAACACCAGTTTCTCAGGTTTGAATCCCAGCTACTCTGCTTCCAATTCGACTCCCTGCCAATGCACCTGGGAAGGCAGTGGAAGCTGGTCCAAGTGGTTGGGCCCCTGCCACCCATGTGGGAGACCAGGATGAAGCTCCTGGCTCCTGGCTTCAACTCTGGCTATTGTGGTTGTTTGAGGGGGTGAACCAGAGGATGGAAAATCTCTCTCTCACTCTGCCTTTCAAGTAAGTTAATAAGTCTATTTTTTTTTTTTTTTTTTTAGATTTTATTTATTTGAGAGGCAGAGCTACAGAGACAGGGAGAGACAGAGAGAAAGGTCTTTCATCAACTGGTTTATTCCCCAAATGGCCACAACAGCCAGAGCTGAGCCGATACAAAGCCAGAAGCCAGGAGCCTCCCCAAGGCCTCCCACGTGGGTGCGGGGGCCCAAGCACTTGGGCCATCGTCCACCACCCTTGCAGGCCACTAGCAGAAGAGGAGCAACCAGTACACAAACAGCACCCATATGGGATGCCAGCACTGCACAGGGAAGCCCAGCCTACCATGCCATAGTACCAGCCCTATTAATACATCTTAAAAACCAGGGGTCAGTATTGTAGCACAGTGGGTAAAACAGCCGCCTGCAAAGCCAGTTCCCATATGGATACCAGTTCACATCCCAGCTGCTCCACTTCCAATCCGGCTCCCCACTGGTGACCTGGGAAAAGCAGTGGAAAATAGCCCAAGTGTCTGGGCTTCTGCCACCCATGTGGGAGACCCAGATGAAGCTTTGGCTTGGCCCAACCTGGCCATTATAGCCATATGGGGTATAAATCAGCAGATGGAAGATCTCTAACTCTTTGAAATCAATAATTTTTTAAAAAGATTTTATTTATTTGAGAGGTAGAATTACAGACAGAGAAAGGTCTTTCTTAGGTGGTTCACTCCCCAAATGGCAGCAGCTGTGCCAATCTGAAGCCAGGAGCCAGGAGCTTCTTCTAGATCTCCCATGTGGGTGCAGGGGTCCAAGCACTTGGGTCATCTTCCACTGCTTTCTCAGACCATAGCAGATAGCTGGATCAGAAGAGGAGCAGCCAGGACTAGAACCAGTGCCCATATGGGATGCTGGTGCTGCAGGAGGAGGATTAACCTACTTCACCACAGTGCCAGCCCCAAAATAAATAAATCTTTAAAAGAAAGCAAAACAAGCCGGTGCCGCGGCTCACTAGGCTAATCCTCCGCCTTGCAGCGCCGGCACACCGGGTTCTAGTCCTGGTCGAGGCGCCGGATTCTGTTCCTGTTGCCCCTCTTCCAGGCCAGCTCTCTGCTGTGGCCAGGGAGTGCAGTGGAGGATGGCCCAAGTGCTTGGGCCCTGCACCCCATGGGAGACCAGGAGAAGCACCTGGCTCCTGCCATCAGATCAGTGCGGTATGCCAGCCGCAGCGCGCCGGCCGTGGCGGCCATTGGAGGGTGAACCAACAGCAAAGGAAGACCTTTCTCTCTGTCTCTCTCTTTTACTGTCCACTCTGCCTGTCAAAAAATTAAAAAAAAAAAAAAAAACAACAAAAAACAAAAAAACCCTAAGCCATTAAAGCACTATTAGAAGGGAAATATGGGAGAGAGATTATTTCCCATCCAGAATGGTGAAGATCTCTGTTCCTATGACAGGAAATACATAAGCTGTAGAAGAAATGCCTGATAAACTTTACTCCACAGAAATAAATTTCTACAGGGCCAGCATCGTGGCATAATGGGTTAAGCCACTGCCTGCAATGCTAACATCCCATGTGGGTACCAGTGCAAATCCCAGCTGCTCCACTTCTTATTCAGCTCCTTGCTAACATGCCTAGGAAAGCAGCAGAGGATGACCCAAGTGCTAGGACCCTGCACTCACATGAGAGACCCAGATGAAGCTCCTGGCCTAGTCGTGGCCATTGCAGCCATTTGGGGTGTGAACCAGTGCATGGAAGATACCTAAATCTGCCTTTCAAATAAATAAATCTTAAATAAAAAAAGAGGAAATTCCTATATACCAAAAGTACCATAGAAAGAGTAAAAAAGGTAAATTAGAAACTGGAAAAATTATTCATAATTCATATCACAAGGGGCTGGTGTCCCTAATACTTAAAATGCATAAATCAACCCAAAAATGTACAATAATAATGTATAGTAAAGCAAATACATGAATTCTGATTGCTGAAATACATTTATGTCTATTTTCCTATTTACAAATTCATATATTCTTTGGCCCAATAGTTGCTTTTCTCTCCTGTATGTCATAAGGATAACTCGCATGCGTGCAAAATGATAATCTACAAGGTTACTTATTGCAGCGTTGTTACAGAAGGAAAAGATTTTAAAGATGTATTTCACGTATTTGAAAGGCAGAGTGACATTTTTTTCCATCTGCTGGTTCACTCTCCAAACGGCCACAATGGCCAGGGCTGGGCTGGGCCAGGCTCAAGTCAGGAGTCTGGAACTCTACCCAGGTCTCTCACATGGGTGGCAGGGCCCAAGCACTTGAGCTATCTGCTGCTTTTCTATGTACATTAGCAGGAACTTGGATTGGAAGCAGAGCAGCTTAACCCTTCCCACCACAACACTGGCCCCAGCAAAAGATTTTAACTAACCTGAATTTCCAACTGAAGGGATTGGTTAAATAAGGATACATTCCAACAACAGAATACCATGAGGCTGTTTAAAAATAAACAAGGAAGCTCTTCATGGATTGATGCATAAAGATTTCTTTTATAAATTTTTTTAAAAGATTTATTTATTTATTTGAAAGTCAGAGTCACACACAAAGGAGAGGCAGAGAGAGGTCTTCCATCCGCTGGTTCACTCCCCATTTGGCCACAACGGCTGGAACTGCACCTATCCGGAGCCAGGAGCTTCTTCCAGGTCTCCCAAGTGGGTGCGGGGGCTTAAGCATTTGGGCCATCTTCTACTGCTTTCCCAGGCCATAGCAGAGAGCTGGATCGGAAGTGGAACAGCTGAGACTCGAACCGGCACCCATATGGGATGCTGGCACTGAAGGTGGTAGCCTTACCAGCTATGCCACAATGCCGGTCCCATAAAGATTTTCAAAACCAGACTGCTTGGAATTGGTGCTGTGGCTTAGTGGGTAAAGCTGCTGCCTGCAGTGCCAGAATCCCATATGGGCGACAGTTCGAGTCCTGGCTGCTCCACTTCCCACCCAGCTCTCTGCTATGGCCTGGGAAAGCAATAGAAGATGATCCAAGTGCTTGGATCCCTGTACCCATATGGGAGACCCAGAAGAAGCTCCTGGCTTTGGATCGGCCCGGCTCTGGCCATTTGGGGAGTGAACCAGTGGATGGAAGACCTCTCTCTGGCCTTTCAAATAAATAAATCTTAAAAAAAAAAAAAAATCAGACTACTGAGCAAAAGCAAGGTATACAACTGTCTGTATAAAGGGGAGAAAAGTACACCCTGGAGGAAAAAACAGAACTGACAGTACCTGGGGTGAGGAAGGAGCTGAAACCTCAGTGGGAGTCAGAGCTGAGAGGGAGACACCATGTGCCTTTTTATGTTTTTCATGTTGTAATCATGTGGAGATGGTTAAAAAAAAAAAAAAAAAAAGAAATAAAACACAAATTCAACCTGAAGTTGCAAAACAGTGAATTTTGCTTCTGTGTCTCTGAACGTCTTCCCACAGCACCATGGGAAATGTCGAATTTATAGGCTCTTACTTGTCTAGCTTCTCTTCCGCATGCATCTTCAAGGCCTGGTAGCGCTGCTCCTCTTGCTTAACTCTGGCTAAGTAATCCTGAGCGCACTTCTTCAAGGCTTCTTCATTCTGTTCCAAGGCGAACATTTAAAATGAGCTGTCTTGTTCTTCTACTAGCAATATACCATGTGTCAGTTTCATTGTTTTAAATGGGAAAACAATTAATTCAGATGCCCTTAATTTATATCCCATGGCAATTTGTAACAGGCACACACAATTCTCACTGAAGAATTCTACATAATTCCTTCAAGTAATAATTTCAACATCACAAAAGTAAGGTTCAATTACACCGACATGCCTACTTAGGAAGGTAGTTATTTAAAACTTAATGGCAATTTCATTCCCAGACAAATTGGCTGGTCTCACTTTTATTTTTAAATGAAAGGGAAGATTTTTCAGTGCTGTAAAATAATATGCATATTTACATCTCTGTTTGAAATGTTACACTTAATTTCTTCTAGAACCTGCAGGTTGAATCTTTCCCATATGGAATCCCTTCTACTTTTGCTAACACTGAAAAAGTGAATTGCCAAAAAGAACGTTGGGTGGAGAGCTCCTGTGCTGTGCTCTGTGTTACACTCCGACCACGTCTGAGGCTTCCACTCGGGACCCGGTAGAGGAATGACCAGGACATGCCACCCAGTGAGTCAGAAGCTGCAAGGCCAGTAGGCCCTGTCCCCCTATTTCAAAGGTCACCCACACTTCTGGCCTATGTTTGGTGATCCCTTACCATAAGAGTACACCACCAGCTAGGGCTGGGAGGACAGGGACACACTACCTTCTTGAAGCCTTCCAAAACGCCTTTCAGGTTCTCATATCGCCTGAAGAGATCAGAAAGGGACCTCTCCACAGAGTTAAGGTCGGCCAGGGCCTGCTCCTTCTCCATGGTCAGCTGCTGGAAGCTCTTCTGGGAGGTCATGCTCGTCCTCTGTTCATCTTCTGGAGAATCACAAGTCAAAAGTGACGGCATGGAAGTTGTCCAACAGGTACCAAACAGAGTCAGGCAGTAAGTTCTAGTGTCCACAGCACAGCGGGGGACTGGAGTTCACTACAACCTTGTATGTATCTGACGAGTAACTCACTAGCTCCAAACCCAGTGATGGGAATGAGGGAAATGCTACTGACCCTGACTTGCTCAGCATACACGGTGTTTTAAGTACTGAGACACCTCACTGCACCAGAGATCTCTGCGGGCATCACAGGAGATGAAATGCTAACCTCCATGATTTAATCAGCACATGCTGTATCCCACAAAAGTGTATAATGAAAAATTCAAAAAGCATATAATGTCATGTTTAATAGAAGATAGCTGGGCTGGCGCTGTGGCACAGTGGGTAAAGCTGTGGCCTCCAGTGTCGGCATCCCATATGGGCACCGGTTCGAGTCCCGGCTGCTCCACTTCCCGTCCAGCTCTGTGTGATGGCCTGGGAAAGCAGTAGAAGCCGGCCCAGGTCTTTGGGCCCCTGCACCTGCATGGGAGACCTGGAAGAAGCTCCTGGCTCCAGATTGGCCCAGCTCCAACCACTGAGGCCAACTTGGGAGTGACCCAGCGTATGGAAGGCCTTTCTCTCTCTGCCTCTCCTTCTTTCTCTGTGTAACTCTGACTGTCAAATAAATAAATAAATCTTTTAAAAAAATCCAGAAGACAGTTAACAGCTTCTTGTTGAGGGCCAAGTAGTGTTCTGGGTGGTGGTGGGCACACAGCTGTGAATGCAGCAAGTTCCCATGCTCAAGGACTTACAGAAGATACCCATCCATTGACAAGAGAACCAGGCTGGGGAGAGGGCTGCTGTCTTTACAGACGGGTCTCCCTCAAGGGAAAGATCTGAGCAGAGGTCCCGGGAGTGGGAGCCACACAGCCACCTGGGAGGAGGACGGGACATGCACAGCATCGGCTGTGGCACAGGCCCAGAGCTGGGATGGCGGCAGGTGCTGTGGGCAGCAGAAAGACCAGGCTTGACTTGATTTGGGAGTCAGTCCTTACCACATTGACTAGAAGAGGCTCTACGGTCAATGCAGCATTGCTTTGTTAAAAAAAAAAAAAAAAAAAAAAAAAAAGGCCTTCCACAGAATCCACCACATGCCATCCTCTAAAACAAACCCAGCCGCAGCCTTTGCTCACTTTCCGGGGAGTCTGTGCATGCAAATTCACCTACTTGCTAAAATTTGTCTGTAACCCCAAAATCAACACCCAGGGACTTTTTTTGGCAGTCATTTGTGAACATGTACAGAGCAGCAAACAATTTTTAGTCACCTGATACATTCTCAGCAGAGGTCAAACAAGGCGACACTCTGCCCCCTTGTTTCCTGCTACAAAATAGTGTCCTTCTTGTGGTCTACTCAGTGTCATGTTTTTACATCTCTGCACTTTTTGCTGGTGATCTCAGTGTTCACGGTGGTCCCAAAGGGGTAGTGCAGGAGTGCTGTCTGTTGTCCCCTGGCTGCTGGCTGGCTGTGAGTTCAGGGTTAATAAATCAGTAATACAAAGCCATGTCCAAAAGTTCATAAAAATGGAATTAAAGGTATGTTGGTGGGGCTGGCGCTGTGGCACAGTGGGTTAAAGCCCTGGCCTGAAGCGCCGGAATCCCAAATGGGCACCGGTTCTAGTCCCAGCTGCTCCTATTCCGATCCAGCTCTCTGCTCTGGCCTGGGATAGCAGTAGAAGATGGTCCAAGTGCTTGGGCCCCTGCACCCACGTGGGAGACCGGGAGGAAGCTCCTGGCTCCTGGCTTCAGATCAGCCCAGCTCTGGCCATTGCGGCCATCTGGGGAGTGAACCAGCAGATGAAGACTTCTCTCTCTGTCTCTACCTCACACTGTAACTCTGTCTTTCAAATAAATAAAATAAATCTTAAAAAAAAAAAAAAAAAAAGGTATGTTGGTACAAAAATTTTCTGAAATCCATGCTGAGATTTTTCCATAATATGCATGTGTGAGCTTTTGAAGATCTCTCCTATATATGCATTTCAAAAATTTTTTGTATCAAGATGAACTTTACATTCTTTCCTTACTTATTTGAGAGGCAGAGGCAAAGGGAGACAATCAGGCAGACGAGTTCCTATCTGCTGGTTCACTCCCAAAATGCCTGCAATAGCCAGGGCTGAATCAGGCTGGAACTGGGAACCCAATCCATGAGAATGGCAGGAACCCAGCTATTCGAGCCCTCACTGCTGCCTCCTTGGGTCTGCACTAACAGACAGAAGGAATGATTGGGAGCCAGACCTGAAGCTCGAATTCAGGTACTCTGCTACAGGATGTGGGCATCCTAGCCAGTGTCTTAACCATTAGGCCAAACGCCTGCCCCAGGTCTATCTTTTAAATCTATTTTCCCACAAACTCCTTGTACTCAATGAGGTGCCTAAGGGGCAGTGCTGTGGTAAGTTAATCTCTGCCTGCGGTGCCAGCATCCCAGATGGGCGCCGGTTTGAGTCCCGGCTGCCCCTCTTCCAATCCAGCTCTCTGCTCTGGCCTGGGAAAAGCAATAGAAGATGGCCCAAGTCCTTGGGCCCCTGCACCCACGTGGGAGACCTGGAAGAAGCTTCTGGCTCTTAGCTTTGGATCAGCCTAGCTCTGGCCATTGCAGCCATTTGGGGAGTGAACCAGCAGACAGAAGACCTTTCTCGCTGTTTCTTCCTCCGTCCGTTAATTCTAACTCTCAAATAAACAAACTTTTAAAAAAAATGAGGTGCCTTTAAACAGAAACAGGAGACCAGGCTATAAATTAATCAAAGAATGGGAACATCATGACCAGGGACTCATAGGAAGCCAACCTGGTATTCTCCCTAAGAGCCATGGTTCTTGGTGCAGTGTTTCTAGAACTCCCAGAGATGATGATGTGACACCGGCTGCATCACGGGCATCTGTGGGTCCTGCTGTGCTCTGAATGTTTGTGCCCTCCTCACATGCAGAAAGCTGATCTCCCAGGTGAAGGTGTGCCGGCCTTTAGGAGGCAAGGAAGTCCCAAGAGGGAAGTAAGAGCGAAGCAAAGCGAGGAGGCGTAAAACAGGCCCTGCCAGACACCAAATCTGCAGGGGCCAAAAGTGATCTTGGACGTCTTACCTCGGAAGCTCCGGGAAGTCAAGGCCTGCTGCTTAAGCTGCTTCAGTATGGTAGTTACTATGGAATAGCAGCCAGCACAGGGTATGACAGACTCTACAGCTGCATACTCGAGAGAAAAAAACTTGCTCCTTACCAATCATTTGAGCAATGGTCTTTTCATATTCAGCCACAATTTTCCTAAATAAAAAAAAAGTTATGATCAGAAGAGAATTTTCAAGCTATGGAACTTAGAGAAATACTGCCCCCAATAACTATATTAACGTATGCTGACAATTTGCATAACCCTTTTATTTGTGTGGGGCCCTCACTTTTTTTAAAAAAAATTTACATAAAGTTTATTAATGTTCAAGAAAGCTTTTTTAAAGACTTTATGTTTAGCAAGATTTTTATGATAGCGATAGAAACAAATGCCTTTACTTTTTCCTAGCATCTATTTGGATACCTCAGGGCAATAGATAACTTCAGTTTCGAAAAAACAATCTTGCACAAACTAAGTGAAAGACATCCTTCAGGGCTGCCTGAGAGATCTGATGAGAGTGCAGGCTTTCAGGGCCCTGATCCACTGGCATTTTGTGTCCTTGTTCCAAATGCATTTCAGTTATCTGAAGATTTTCACGGTGGCTCTCTTGGGTGCAGCGATGTCTTCCTGACTGGTGTCAGATGCTCTTCCCTGTGCTCGCCTCCCTCCCAGGCCCCTCCTTGGTGGCATCTGTTGCTTTAGACGCCATGTCCAAATTATTCTGGGTAGCTACCGCAGGGCCGTCCCTTCTACTTCATCAAGCCCAGCTCAGGAGATGCTCCGAAAACAAATAAGGGAGCCGTCCCATCAGAGTGGACACCTTTAAAACGTTTCCTGATCGCTACTGTGCAGTGTGAGAACTAGTCCTTTCTTCCCCCCCACCCTTTTTTTTTTTTTTTTTGACAGGCAGAGTGGACAGGGGGAGAGAGAGAGAGACAGAGACAGAGAGAAAGGTCTTCCTTTGCTGTTGGTTCACCCTCCAATGGCCGCTGCGGCCAGCGCACTGCGCTGATCCGAAGCCAGGAGCCAGGTGCTTCTCCTGGTCTCCCATGGGGTGCAGGGCCCAAGCACTTGGGCCATCCTCCACTGCCTTCCCGGGCCACAGCAGAGAGCTGGCCTGGAAGAGGGGCAACCGGGACAGAATCTGGCGCCCCAACCGGGACTAGAACCTGGTGTGCCAGCGCCGCAAGGTGAAGGATTAGCCTAGTGAGCCGCGGCGCCGGCCTCCCTTTCGTTTCTGAGATGTACCTTTTGTGACTTCATGGCTCATAACTCTCCTTTCTAGGGAGTGAACAGAAAACATAAGATTTCAATTTAAAGTTGACTTGTTTCTTGCTAACAAACATTTTAAAACCTATTTGGTGGTGATGCAACCTGAAGTAATCGTGCATAATTAACTTTTTTTTTTTTTTTTTTTTTGACAGGCAGAGTGGACAGTGAGAGAGAGAGAGACAGAGAGAAAGGTCTTCCTTTTGCCGTTGGTTCACCCTCCAATGGCCACCACGGCCAGCGCGCTGCGGCCAGCGCACCACGCTGATCCTAAGCCAAGAGCCAGGTGCTTCTCCTGGTCTCCCGTGGGGTGCAGGGCCCAAGCACTTGGGCCATCCTCCACTGCACTCCCTGGCCACAGCAGAGAGCTGGCCTGGAAGAGGGGCAACCGGGACAGAATCCGGCACCCCGACCAGGACTAGAACCCGGTGTGCCGGCGCCGCTAGGTGGAGGATTAGCCTATTGAGCCAAGGCACGGCCCATAATTAACTTTTAAGAAGAGTACTCTGGGGGCCGGCGCTGTGGTGTAGTGGGTAAAGTCACCACCTGCAAAGCTGGCATCCCATATGGGTGTGGGTTCAAGTCCCAGCTGCTCCACTTCTGATCCAGCTCTCTGCTATGGCCTGGGAAAGCAGAAGATTGCCCAAGTCCTTGGGCCCCTGCATCCATGAGGGAAACCAGGAAGAAACTCCTGGCTTCAGATCGGTGCAACTCCGGCCATTGTGGCCAGATGGGGAGTGAACCATCGGAAGGAAGACCTCTCTCTCTCTCTCTCTCTGCCTCTCCTTCTCTCTCTGTGTAACTCTGACTTTCAAAATAAATAAATAAGCCTTTTAAAAAAATCAATAATGTATACACAGCTATTCAATCCCTCCCCCAAACCTCCAGACAAACCTCATCTCCAAGACTTCTTGTCGGGTCTCTTCGTATTTTTTCTTCCATTCGTTTGCTTCAATCTCTTTAGTGATTATCTGGATTATAAAGAGCTTGGTTTTACCTAACCAACTTATCACAGTTTGAATTAAAATGGGAGACTGACCACAACACACAGCCAAATTTAAAACAAGACATCCAATCCAATCTACATTAGGAATGTGAACCTCAGCATTTATGTCATATAGTATCCTCCCTCGTCCACACAGGACACCACCAGGTTCAAGAGAAAACATCTCCCAGGAATTCCAGGGCTACTGACAGGCTCTGTGAAGTTCACCTGGGAGCCTCTTACCTCTGTGGGCCCAGAACTCCGCTTGGCACAGGACAGCCAGAGCAGAGCATCTGGCTGGCGGAGTAGATGCCAGACCACCCGTCCTGCGTCGGATGACAGAATGGAACTGCTACTAAACCAGAGTATCAGAAGCTGGAACAGGCACAACGTCCTGCGCCACAGAGACTTTCAGCTGCTTGGGAAGAATGGAGTCGGAACAAGGGGCTCAACAGTCTAAGGCTGCAGGCTCGAGGCATCCAGCTACAGGACCCATGCAGACAGGCAGGAATCTGCTTGGTCGGACTAGAGCCCACAGCCACGTTTGGGCTGCTCTTGCTAAGTGGGGACGTCAGCTCCATTTACCTGGGACGTTCAGGTACTGTGCACCCCTGGCTGCGTCTCCCTTCCTAATGGGTTCGTTCATGATGGGGGCCTTTCCTCGAGAGCTCGAAGGCTTCCGGAGGCCGGGCACCTGTCCACCCTGATGCAGTCAGTGCTCCCCGCGGGAGGAAGCTGAGGCCACTCTCCTCACTGCTGAGGCTCTGGCGGGCCTGCTCGCCGCCGCTCCCACCGCGACAGCAGGACGTGCCGCATTAGCAAACTCCACTATTCTAGGAAGCTTTAAAAGGCCATTGGCCAAGGTGCTTAACTACCCTTACTGTGGCATAAAAATAAAATTGCTATACCAAGGAATTATCTTCTGGGGAAAAAAAAAAGTGGAATCATGAAGAAACACACAGACCAAACATAACACCGCACAGACGACTCAGATGACGGATGCGTGGCAGTGCCCTGAGTATTTTCCCATCACTCAGGGAAGGTCCAGCCTCGATCAGTTTAGAACAGAGGCGGCTCAACGGACATAATGAAGGAACCCAAGAGTTGAACTGTTTGATTACAGAATGAAAGAGTCAAGTAGTAAACATTTTTGTGTTACTCCAATTGTAGCATTTCAGGAATCTTTAGCCATGAGCACACATCCTTCGTAAAATGAAGGCACCGATTCAGTTACATATGGGAGTAGAGTTGGCAAAATTAGACACTTGAAACTTCAAAGCCGAACCACGAAGAAGTACACAAAATTCTTAGGAATATTTCAGAACCACAGCTTTCCCCGGACACCAGAATGTCAGGGCTCCAGTGCCAACGCCGAGCGTTTGGCGGAGGCCTTGACCCGAGCTAAACAAGCTACAGGAAAGGGGAGCTCCCAGTCTGCGACAGCTGAAGCTGAGAGATGGCACCTGCCCGCTGGCACAGCTCTACCCAGAAGCAGGGCGACAGCAGAGCCAACAAGAAAGCCGTTACCTCTTCTCTTATCAGGGTGAGCACGGCCGTCTTATCGGATTCGCTGAGGCAGATCCCATCCAGGGGGCTCTCGCCACCGCAGGCCACCGACACAGGGGCCTTCTCCTGGGAGGCCTCGAGCAGTCCCTGTGGGGGAAGTAGACATGTTTAAGGCGCTCAGTCTTCAGCTTCTGAACCCCAGCTCTCCTTCATCCCTTCTTCATCACACTGACTACAACCTTTACAAACACGTTGGAAAAAAAAAAAAAAAAAAACAGTAGGAAGGAGGCTTTTGAAAAACACACACATAAAATGTTAGTGTGCAGCTTCATAGACCTCAGCCTGGGCCCAATACAGAAACCCACCTCTGGCCACAGTAAATGGAAATACAAAACTACTTTCCAGCAGCTCTCGGGGAGGCAGCTTACCATGCTGGCAGATGTCTGAGGTCTCCTGGAACCTCTCTGGTATTCTGGGAAAGGTCACCAGAGCCAGGCACCTGTACCTCCAAAATGGCCCCCAAACCCCCCACCCCCACCTCCAAGTTCTGATCCGCTCATGTCATCTCCTCCCTGTGGGAAAGGACCCAGTGCATCCCATACGGGTGCTGGTTCGAGTCCCGGCTGCTCCTCTTCTGATCCAGCTCTCTGCTATGGCCTGGGAAAGCAGTAGAAGATGGCCCTTGTCCTTGGGCCCCTGTGCCCACGTGGGAGACCTGGAAGAAGCTCCTTGCTCCTGGCTTCGGATTGGTGCAGCTCTGGTCCTTGTGGCCAACTGAGGAGTGAACCAGAAAATGGAGGACCCCTCTCCCCTCTCTCTCTTTCTCTCTCTGTGTAACTCTGACTTTCAAATAAATAAACAAACCTTTAAAAACAAAACAAAAAAAGGCTCTGGCTTCCATGTATGACCGCTCTATGGAAAGGCCCAGGCAGCAAGGAACTGAGTCCCTGCCAATAGCCAGTGACCTACCTGGCTCATGCCTGGAGATGACTGTAGCCCTGGCTGGTGTCTTGATTACAGAGACCCAGAGTCAGCACCCAGCATGCGTGCCCTATGACCTCTGACCCACAGAAACCGAGAGGTAATTCTGTGTTTGCTGTTTTACCAGGCAGGGTGACTACTCCACCCCGGCCATCGGAGCACTCACTGTCCTGTGCCCTGTTTCTTTTCATGAAACTGCCTCACCAGCTTGCTGCAACAGGACCTGCCGGATGGGAAGGTAACACGCTAAGTGAAGCGGGCACATCTGGTTCATTCTGTTGCTTTTTAAAGTTTATTTGAAAGGCAGAGTGAAAGTAAAATAAGAGGTATCTTCCATCCACTGGTTTGGGCTGGGCCAGGCCAAAACCAGACCCTCTGGGTCCCCATGTGGGTGGCAGGAACCCAAGCACTGGATCCTTAGCAGGAGGCTGGGATGGAAGCAGAGGTGGGACTTGATCCCAGGCTCTCCAATATGGTGGCTTACCCCACTGCGCCACAACGCCCACCCCACCTTGTCACATTCCTGATTATGAATTAACACATTTCACAGTCTTTTCAGTTTGTGTTGCTTTAAGTCAGAGTCCCAAGGCCTAGTCAACTCCAGGAAGCAGCCCATCTGTCTCCTTGGCCATACAGGAGTTAAGAATTTGGGAAATATGCCCTAAAGTCTTCTTAGTAAGGACTTTAGCAACCATTCTAGAGTTCAGCATCTCATCTGTTTGTGGAAGGAGAAAATGCGCTCTGTGTGCCTGTTTGTGTGACAACTCAATGTCAACAAATGCTGTGTCAGAGCAGGTGATGGCTCAAGCTGGGTCCTGCCAACCTTGTGGAAGACCTGGATCGGGTTACCAGCTCCTGACTTCCATCAGGCCCAGTCCTGACCACTGCTGGTATTCAGGGAGTGAACCAGCAGATTGGAACTTGCTCGCTCTGCCTCTCTGCTGCTTTAAAAAAAAAAAAAAAAATTTTAAGAGGAAAAAAAAGACTCCTAGGTAAAAACACTGCAGACCAATGGCTGGAAAACAACGTGAGACAAGGTCTTCCACTTACCATATTCCCTGGCCTTGGTTTTGTCCCAACCACTACCTAGCACTGGCATGGCACTGTAAGAGGAATGTACTTCAAAGCAACACAGAAAGACTTAAAGTACACACTGGACTAAACAGATTTCTCTATTCAACGTTTTGAACATTGAAACTTCTTTCTATGTTTACTCAACATTCTAAGAGAGCAGAAATCAGTTGCTGTCAGGAAGTTCAAACAGGGTTACTTTTAAAAGGCCACAGCACAGGGAATTTTCTCCATCAGCCAGCTTCCAACACAGGTAAGTGTGCTCCGTTCTCTCTGTATCACCCTCCTCATCAAAGCCACACCACACCTGCACAGCTTGGGTCTTCTGCACCACCTGTCACATCTTCTCCTTACAACTACTCTGACTCACTTCATTGGTAAGTTGAGAATCGGGGGGTTAAGCCATCTGAACCTGCGGCCACAGGAGCCAAGGCTTTAGCCCACTCCATGCCTCTCTGCTATTCTCACACACTGAAAATACTGGAAGTGCTCTCAGGGGGCCCACAGAAGGAACTGGTTCCCAGGGTGTGCCTGCAACACTGGCAGCAGAGGGCGCCTCGTCCTCTCATCAGTCCAGGGACAGACCTCACTGTGATGCTCCCAATTCCACAGGCTTTAGGTATCTTTTCTTCCCCTAACTCCTCGCCCAGCCTGCTACAGGCTCCTCCTCCACTAAGCCCTGAGAGGTTAGAAGTCGGCCTACACAAGTTGTTCCTTCTCTACCCTCTAGGTCTAGGGAAACAGTGTGGTCACAGCAAAACAGTGACTCATGAAAACGATTCAGAGGCACAAGCCATCTGCATTACAAGAACGAGAGAGAATAGGAAGTATTAGAGTGAATCATGTGAAGGTATGTTGTTTTGTGCAGTTCATTTGACAAATATACAAATGCATGTGTCATAATGAGTCACATAGGAGTTTTCAAAAAGGTCATGGATGGGGCAGACACTGTGGTGCAGCGGGTTAAGCTGCCGCTTGGGATGCCTGCATTCCATCTCAGAGTCCCTGGTTCAAGACCCATTTAATCTGCTTCTGATCCTGCCTCCTGCTAATGCGCCCGCGGAAGGCAGCAGATGATGGCTCAGGTACTTGAGTGCTGCTACCCATGTGAGAGACTCAGATGGAACTCCTGGTTCCTGGCTTCAGCACGGCCCAGCCCTGGCTGTTGGGGGCATCTGGGGAGTGAGCCAGTGAAATGCAAGATCTCTCTAATGCTACCTTTCAAATAAAATCTTTAAAAACAAAATAAGCATATCTTCATTACATTTTTCCACAAACTTTTTGAAGTATTCATATATGTACTGTCAAGATATGAGGTTTTTACTGCAGATCAAGATGTTTCTATCACAACTTCACGTACTCTCACAACGTTAACGGTCACCTGTGTCCTAACTCTCAAAGCCAACCAGACTTTTCTTGAGCTCATGTCACACACTTACAACTGCCTATTGGATATAGAACTTAGGAAATGGCCCTACTGTATCTTGAAGCCACGCAGCTAAAAATGAACTGCACTCCTCCTCTCCCTTCCTATTCCTAACTGACGGATTCCTATACTCAGCACAGTATTTGTTGTGCTAAGTGCTGGGGTTTAGTGCAACATCTTGCAGAAAAGGCAAGGAGAACAAAGAAATGTCTCAAAGAATTCACAGAACTGAAAGAAATGCCATGGGATTAGAAAAAGTTCAAATGTGTGAGGGAAAGAGGAGACGGCCCCATTACAGAAGGCTGTGTTGGACCCAGTAAGAGTCTGACCTTCTCCTAAAGGGCGAGGTTTATGCAAAGAGTAACAAGATCAGTTTTGTGTTTTCTAATAAGATGAGAAACTAAGCCTGGGAACAGAAGCCTGGTTAAAAAACGGCCATGGTGTTTAAAATGGTACTGGCCACGGGCTCAAGAAAAGCCGATGGACTCTGGCCACAGATCTTGCTTGTGGACTAAGGAAGGGGCAGAGAAGGGGCAACGTGACTCCAGGTGTGTCGCCTAGACAGCTAGGTGACCAGTGCTGCCACCTGCTGAGAGAAGTCTCCTGGGGCAACAATGGCCACTCAGATGCTCCAGGCAGAAACTCCGGGGGATCCTCATCAGCTCGCTCTCACCACACCCACCCAGGCCACCGTGTGCGTCACTATGACACCAAGCAGTAGTGCTCTTCCTGCTACATCCCTCTCTACCTCCATCCCACCTGTCACGGGTCACAGCGCTCCCTACTGAACTCGCCTCCATGGCTGCCTACCACTTCTACTACAGATGCCAAACCTCCCAGCACTAGGACAGCCCCAGATGCACTTGCCCTTGCTTACCATACACACAGCATCCGCCAATCACACGAGATGATGAATGTTGACAATCCTTTAAGGAATCCATATTTTTTTCCAATCTATGCCATTCCACAAGCCAACTCTATAGACTGAAATTTACTTTCTTGACTCATCTGCCTGGCAAACTCTATTCTTCCTTTAAAACATGCTCAGTTGGAAAAACCTCGCACTGTATTACCAACTAACCAAAGCTAACCCCACCAGTAAAGGGACATGCTGGTATCAGTGCTGTCATCTCTGTGTCAACATATAAGCCAAACCAAATCATGAAGAAGCATTAGAGCAACCCAAATTGAAGGGTGTTCTATAAAATACTTGGCCAGTACCTTTCAAAAGTGTCAAAGTTATGATATACAGAGAAATAGGAACTGTCAGAGATTAAAGACGACAAAAGAAATTGCAATTAAATGCAATGTGGGATACTGTACTGGACCTTGCACCAGCAAAAGGATGTTAGTGAGTGGCTGATAAAATCTGCAATGTTTATATATTCTATAACAGTACTGTATCAGTATTAAGAGTATTAGTGGGGTCGGCGCTGTGGTGTAGTGGGTAAAGCTGCTGCCTGCAGTGCTGCCATCCCATATGGGCACCAGTTCAAGTCCTGGCTGTTCCACTTCTGATCCAGCTCTCTGCTATGGCCTGGGAAAGCAGTAGAAGATGGCCCAAGTCATTGGGCCCCTGTACCCATGTGGGAGACCTGAAAGAAGCTCCTGGCTTCTGATCAGCCCAGCTCTGGTGGTTGCGGCCAATTGGGGAGTGAACCAGTGGATGGAAGACCTCTCTCTCTCTCTCTATGTAACTCTTTAAAATAAATAAATCTTAAAAAAGGAGTATTAGTGACTTTGATAACTGCACCATGATTATGTAAAAATGTTAATATTTGAGGAATGAGTGAAAGATACACAGGAATTCTTTGTGCTATTTTTACAAGTCTAAAACTAGTTGAAAATGAAAAGCCTAGAAACGCATTCATTTTTAACAAGCTCAGCTTCAGCCTTCCCAGCACCTGCCACATGCTGCGTCCACGGCCCCTGGAACACGTTCTGTGATGACTGCTGGTTGACATCATGTATCCACCACCAGTACATCTTCATAAATATACTAGAAATTATTATGTGATGTAAAAGGTCACAATGAAAAAGTAAGAAGAAACTGGTAAAGTTAATTTTAACAACATGGTTTAGCTAACCCAACATATCTGAAAAATTACTGTCTTAACACGTAGTCAATATAAAGAGTCCTTGAGACATTTCTTTTTGTATGAAGTCTTCAAAAACTGGTTGCACTTTGGATGTCTGGGGACACCTCAAGTCAGGCTGGCTATCGTGCTCTGCCAGTGAAGAAACGTTCTAATGTTTTATCCCATCAGCTAACACAAACTAGAATTCATTTAGTGAATTAATGCGGCCTTCAAAACAGATACTGCAAAGAAACTCGACTTCCACCCCGTCCCTCCAAGCTGAGGAACTCACAGGCACAGCACAGCCGTCTTTTTCCATCTTCCGGCACGCCTCTCTCTCTAGGCCTGAAACACAGAAATCATCTTTAGTTAGCCCAAGAAGCCAGTGCCTTTTCTTCCTCATGACATCCTCTTGGACCAGAATGACTGCAAACACAGACAGCATTTCTGGATTTTAAAAGGAGCACTGGTTCTGCTGAGCCCTGTGAAGTTCAGTGTTAAAATTCCACAACATTCAGAAGGAAGGGGAGGACAAGGTTAGTCAGCCAGTGACACTTTCAGGAGCAAGGAACAGCAAAGGCTGCCCCCTTGTGTCCACAAAAAGTTTAGCAGATGCGTTGTCCTAACCATGGATTATTCCATAACGAGGAAAAGACTGAATGCCATTTTACTACTCAGTCTCAGTGAATTTAATTTCCAGCCCAGAAGGGGGCCTTCAATCCACTTAGTGTAACAGATAAGGCAATAAGGTTTACTTTAATGCCTGCAAAACTGAAGTCGTTGGCCTTTCCACACTCTTCAAATTGGTTTCCTGTCTCACATCTATCTTTTCCTCTACCACCAGAGACAATACTTGAAAAATAAAAACAGGGGTGGGCATTGTGAGGCAGCAGTTAAAGACGCCACTTGTGATACCTGCATCCCACACTGAAATGCCTGAATTCAAGTCCCTGCTGTTTTCCCTCCAGCATCCTGCTAATGTGCACCCTGGAAGGCAGCAGGTGATGGCTCAAGTACTTGGGTCCCTGCCACCCACAGTGGCAACTTGGAATTCTGGGTTCCTGGCTTCCACCTGGCCCAGTCTCTGTGATTATGAGCATTTGAGGATTGAACCAGCAGATGGAAGATTTCTTTTTCTTTCTATGACTTTCAAAAAAAAAAAAAAAAAGGCAATATACTCATTAAAAATTGAAAAATACAGAAAAACAGACGTTTTTAAACCTATAATCCTTGATGTAGCAATAACCAATTACCATTTCAGTGAACAGTTATTTAAGACACAAATGGGACCACTTCTCTGCCTCCCCCAGACCTGTAGGATCAAGTGCAAATTCTCCAGTCTGTGCTTGTTTCCCACTTCCCTGCCTGTACTCACACAAAGTGGGCATTTTAGCAACACGGAGGTTCCTTCCCACGGCTGTGAGTCTCATCTTCAGAAGAACATCCATGTGTGTATCCATCAAGACCCAGCTCCAGGGTCACTCTCCCCAGGAAAATCTCTGATTCACTGGAGAGACCCAGAGGCCGCCCCCACACTCCAGCCACCACAGGCTCTGCTTGTGCCCCCGATGCAGCTGATCGATTACAGTGTAACAGCTTGTTCAAATCTGTCCCACTTTTCCAAAGCAGACTGGCCTTTACTAACTGTGAGAGCCACAGCTCTCTAGCGATTTACTGAAGGCATTTCCTCTAGGGAGAAAGAATGTAATTCAGGGAGTATTGCCCGTGTGCCTGCGTCAGAGGAAATTCAAAGATAAACGTCTCATAGGCCCTAACCTCTAGAAGTCTATCATTTTCTACCCCTGTACAATAATACATTGCACTGGGCATCGTGGAACAGGAAGGGTGGGAAGAAATATGAGGGACCAGCAGGCATGGTAGGATCTAAGTAACCTTTGAAACTCGTCTGAAAGGATGGGCTGAAATTTTGTAGGCACTGTCGAAGGCAGATATTTCAAACAGAACGAACGAAATGCAGGAGTAAGAGTACCCAGGATTCACATTGGGTGCCTGGATAGGAGACAGATCTGCGGGAGCAGGCAGGACTGGAAAATAACCTGTTCACACTCCTTTCACCTGCTCCTCTGGTGGGATGGCAGAGCATGACTTTTACAATTCTAAGGGGGCTGGCGCTGTGGCGTAGTGGGTAAGGCCATCACCTGCAGTGCCAGCATCCCACATGGGCACCGGTTCTAGTTCCAGCTGCTCCACTTTCAATCCAGCTCTCTGCTGTGTCCTGAGAAAGCAATATTGCTTTTCTGCACTGCTTGGGACACCCAAAAGAAGCTCGTGGCTCCTGATCGGCTCAGCACTGGCTGTTGTGGTCATCTGAGTAGTGAACCAGTCGTTTGAAGACCATTCTCTCTCTCTGCCTCTCTGTAACTCTGCCTTTCAAACAAAATAAATCTTTAAAAAAAAAAATTCTAGGGCTGGCGCCGCAACTCAATAGGCTAATCTTCCACCTTGTGGCGCTGGCACACCGGGTTCTAGTCCCAGTCAGGGCACTGGATTCTGTCCCGGTTGCCCCTCTTCCAGGCCAGCTCTCTGCTATGGCCCAGGAGTGCAGTGGAGGATGGCCCAAGTCCTTGGGCCCTGCACCCGCATGGGACACCAGGAGAAACACCTGGCTCCCGGCTTCGGATCAGCGTGATGCGCCGGCTGCAGCGCACTGGCTGTGGTGGCCATTGGAGGGTGAACCAACGGCAAAAAGGAAGACCTTTCTTTCTGTCCCTTTCTCTCACTGTCCACTCTGCCTGCAATTAAAAAAAAAAATTCTAAGTATACAAAAGCCCACAAATTAAATAGGCTACATGGGGTCAGTGTGTTGCACAGCATTTAGGCACTGCTTATGATGCTGGCATCCCATGTTGGAGAGCAGGTTCAAGTCCAGGCTACTCTGCTTCCGATCCAGCTCCCTACTAATGTGCCTGGGAAAGCAGTGGAAGATGGCCCCTGAGTGGACTCTGCCACCCATGTGGGAAGCCCAGATGGAGTTCCAGCCTCCGGGCTTGAGCCTGGCCTAGTCCTGGCTGTTGTGGCCATGTGGGGAGTGACTGAACAGGTAGAAGATCCATCTCTGTCATTCTGCCTCTCGAATAAGTAAATCTTTTAAAATATATAAAGAAAAATTATATTAAAAAGGTGTGAATTTTTCGTTATGTTTAACATAGTTAGGAGCATGGTTCTAAAGTCTCCTCGTGTGAATTTTAAAGTCACACAGCCTGGGATCTAGAGAGGGCCTTCACTCTAGAATGATCTGACAAGCCCAGGTTTAAGAGGCTGCTTCTGCTCAGGTTCGTCTAGGTTCTTCAACAGGAAGGAAGGACTTCACAGGGCACTGGTCAATTTCAATCTACCACATCCGTGCCAGGAGCAATTTTAATAGTCTGCTATAATGAAAACAGTTTCTTCACACTTCAGCACTGTGGCTGAAAAGCCACGGAACTGCTTCTGTTCGAGTCCAGGCCCGCCGTTTACTAGTGACAGGGTTCCATGCACACTACCACAACATATGACACTGGGCATCTGGGGAACAGCAGGGGCTGCTGCCGTGAGCAGCCCCTGAAAATTCTGACCTTCCTCTGAAAGAGTCATAAAGAGCCTCATCCCACAAGGGTCCTTCCTGTGCCCAGGGGACAAGAATGTCCTTACCCCCAAAGACAGACACAAGAACGATCAGAACCAACAGGCCTTGCTAAACTCTCCCATGTATTACCATGAGCTCCATTCCCTTCTGCCGTCCAATCTTGCTTCCTCACAACTGTCCATAAAAGTAATTGCTCTTGCTAATCTGTCTCAGCCATGAAGCCTGCAACTGCGCAAGGAAAAGGTATTACTGTTTTCCCCACACTAGCCCAGGGAGCTTAGTCAGGTTATGTCACTCCTGAGTCTCACCCCGTTTCCCTGGAGAAAGGAGAAAGCGGCAATGCCCAGTGAGGAGCAACGAGTTCCCAGGAGGCACCGAGAACAAAGCCTGCACACGGAAAAGCACTACACATGTTAATTGTTACTCCTCTGAGCTTTAAAAATGAGCATAACCGCGACGAAAAAGAAAAGCCAAATGTACAACATAGTTTCAGGCCACTCTATGTACAGCCACATTAGCAGAATTAGGACGACATTCGAGCAGTCTCATCCACCAGTCTCTGGATACCCTGTTCCTGTTATCCATATGTCCCTAACTCTTGGATAAGCACTTTGTGAGTCACCATCCTGAATCCATCCTCCAGGTGACCCAATTCCCAAATCTCTCTAAGGTACCGCCTGGTGTAGGCTTTCAGGCATTGCTATGCTTATGTATGAGAGAAAGATGAAGAGAACTTCATACCTGCTTCTGAGGATGGAAACGCATGATTTATGGTAGACACGGGAACATTGGAACATTCAAAGTACTCCAGGTCTTCCTCTGGCTCACCTTTCCCCTCGGCCCCAGCCAATTTCTGACCACACGACGTGGACGCCAGCTTCTCCTCGTCGGTAGCGTGGCCATCCCTATGAGAAATGTCTGAGAGCTCGGAGATCACTGCTCCTTCGTCCTGCGTAATGCAACAGAGGAGAGGCTACCCTTCAGGAGGACACATGGGGAAGTGACATCGGGGACAGAAACCCCAGGGCTAGCCACTGACCTGGCTGCAACCAGAAGGAAGGGGAACCATTCAATACGAAGTGCTGCTTCTAGAACCTAGCTCCTGTAATTTGAGTCTGAGGTTTGAAAAACAGCTTCCCTGGCCTACATTTAAAGGCAGACAGTTTAAGTGGTCCAAGACAGAGGTTTTCAAATCTATTGCTTGTATACCTAAGTTTTTTAACTCCATAGAGCCCTATTGTATTTTCAAGTCATATTGGAAAACTTTCAGCATTGCAAAAGATACATATTTAGGTATCTGGCAAGGTCTAAATATCCAACCTGCATAGTGCAATCTAGTTACTCCAGTGCTTAATATCCTATGGCCCATTTTAAAACCATACAACCAGGTTCTTCAATAGTCACAAATTTACATTTTTCGTTTCCTTCTCTGAAGGTATATTTCCACTCCACTTCCATCAAGAAATTATTCCAATGAAATACATTTGTGTGATTCAAAATCTTCTTAAGATCACTAGTCGTCCTTGTTGTTTAAAAATTCTCTTCTCTTGGGGGCAGGCATTTAGCAAGGTGGTTAAGACGCCCCTTGGGATGCCTGCAACCCATACTGGAGCGCCTGCATTCGAGTCCCCACTTCAAATCCCAGCTTCCTGCTAATGCACACCCTGGGAGGCAGCAGGTGATGGCGCAAGGACTTGGCCCCTGCCACCCCCTGGAAGACCCAGACTGAGAGGCAGGCTTCTGTTGCAGGCATCTGGGAAGTGAACCAGCAGATGGAAGCTCTCTCTTTTTGCCTTTCAAGTAAATAAATTTAAAAATGTTTTCTTTGACCGTAAGTCTCTAAGTGTTAAAAGTTTTTTCCTCCATTACAATTACTAATGCACAATTTGTTTTCAAAATATTACAAACACAAAATATTATCAAACACAAAAGAAAATTTTCAGACGGCAGAGGAAGACGGTGGCTGAGTTAAGATGGGCCAGGTGATCGTCTCCTTATAGACACTAATTTTAACAGTTACACTCATGCACTAAGTCACTTTTACAAGCACTAAGAAAGCCAGGTGAGAGACCCCAGTGCCAAGTGTTAGTAATAAGTAAGAAAAGATGTACAGGAGATGGCAGGAAGCAGAGTTGCCTGTGCCATCCATCCTCCAGCTCTAAGCATTATAGTGTGGAAAGAGATTTTACTTGGAGAGGGAGCAGGAATTAAGACCAGACCATAGACTTGAAATTCAGCACCACTGCCACCATGATAAAAACCATTGTCATACAGGGCCCCAAGCCAGTACCCAAAAACTGAGCCTTCGGACCTTCCTATAACTTCTGGCAGACAGCAACAAGACTCCAACCTCCAGGATTAGGCCGCAGGAAGGGAAGCTTAGGACTTGACCTTGAAACCCAGGTCTCTGCAGTGAGATCCAGCACCTGATACAACCCAAATGCCTCCCAGGCCACTGCTTGCAGAGAGCCTCTCCACTCACCCACATCGGTTGCAGACCTGCTCCCAACGGGACACACTTACTTTCCACCATAAGGGGATGGACTTGTCTCAGCATGTATTGCCACCAGTCTTGCATGGGCCTGGCACGGACCCCCAAGACTGCATAGGGTCTGGTGACTGGGAGACCCAGAAGAGTTTCAGCCTAAGCATCCCTGAGAGACTGCCACTATTAGCCTTCCCTCAACCTTGAGCAGACAGCAAGCAGTCACAGGACTGTTTCTTGGGACTCAGTGCTAGGCTGGCAAAAACCAACTCTAACCAGACCCTTAATGGTCTCTATCCCCAAGTCAGTACCAATGGACAGTCTCTGGACCTGCCCTGCTGCCAACTGCAGCACTTTGTTCCCAGCCCTGGAAAAGTCTTTTAGGGATAGACTATCCCTGTTTAGTTACTGTCCAGTTCATTCTGAACAACACATCAACTATGGGTTTGGGAGAAATCTGGGCTTGAAGCATCCTCTATTAAAACACTGATAACACACCAACAATGAACTTGCAGCAAGCCTCCACTTGGGTGTCACCTAATGCTGAAATAGTACAAGTGTGCATAGCATCAGAGAGACTAAGCAGACTACACAGAGCACCTGGGACAGCCATAAACAAGACTAAGTTACAAAGACTGGACAAAATAACCAATTCTTCAATGCACATTCAACATCATATGCCAACAAGTTTCAAGAACTTTGCGGGGTAGGGGTGGGAAAAAAAGTATTGTGGTGCAGGGGGCTACGCCACCACCTACAATGCAGGCATCCCATATGAGCTCCAGTTTGAGTCCTTGTTGCTCTACTTCTGATAAAGCTCCTTGCTAAAGTACCTGGGAAAGCAGCAGAAGATGGCCCAAGTGGGCCCATCACTCACGTGGGAGACCTGGATGGAGCTACTGGTTCCTGGCCTTGCTTTGCAGCCCAGACTGTTGAGGCCATCTCTGAAGTGAACCAGTGGATAGAAGATTTAACTGCCTTTTATGTAAATACATAAATATTCAAAAAGCAAAACAGAAAAGAACTTTCAAGGAACCATGACCTCATCTAATGAACAAAATAAGGTGCCAGAAACCAACCAGACAGCCAACTGACATTTGTAAATTCTCAGATGAGGAATTCAAGATAGCTATTCTAAGGAAACTCAATAAATTTAAACAGAACACAGAGAACAATTTAGTACCTAACAGAGAGACTTGATAGAGCTGGTGGTAATTTTTAAATAAAATCCCTGAAATGTACACTAAACAAATTTAAAAACCTGAAAGAGGAGCAGGTGTTGTAGTGCAGCAACTTAACCACTGCTTGGGATGCTTGCATTCCATACTGGAATGCTGGTTTGAGTTCCAGCTACACTGTGCTTCCAATCCAGCTCCCTGCTAATGTGCCTGGGGGACAGTGGATGATGGCTCAAGTCCTAGGATTCCTGCCACCCCATGTGGGAGACCTGGGTGGAATTTCTGGCTCCTGGTTTTGGCCTGAGTAGATCCAGGTGTTACATATGTTGTGGAATGAACCAATGAATAGAAGATCTCTCTCTCTTGCTGCACCCCCATCTCTGTCACTTTGCTTTTTTTTTTTTTTTTTTTTTTTTATTTTTGACAGGCAGAGTGGACAGTGAGAGAGAGAGACAGAGAGAGAAAGGTCTTCCTTTGCCGTTGGTTCACCCTCCAATGGCCGCCGCTGCAGCCAGCCAGCGCACCGCGCTGATCCGATGGCAGGAGCCAGGATCCAGGTGCTTTTCCTGGTCTCCCATGGGGTGCAGGGCCCAAGCACCTGGGCCATCCTCCACTGCACTCCCTGGCCATAGCAGAGAGCTGGCCTGGAAGAGGGGCAACCGGGACAGAATCCGGCGCCCCGACCGGGACTAGAACCCGGTGTGCCGGCGCCGCAAGGTGGAGGATTAGCCTATTGAGCCACGGCGCCGGCTCTCACTTTGCTTTTCAAATCAATAAATACACAAATAAATCTTTTTTAAAAAGCACAAGGAAGCTATCAATAGCAGAATCATTCAAATAGAAGAATTAGTGAGCTCAAAGACAGGCTACTTGAAAATATAGAGGAGAAAAAAATCAAGAAGAACAAAGAAAGTTTATGGAAACTTAGGAATAGCATTAAAAGAGCAAATATCCAAGTTTTTGGGGTTCAAGAGGTACATGAGAATAGTGAAGGGTTAGAAAGCACATTCAAAGAGACAGAAACAGAAAATTTTCCAAACATAGAGAATGACACAACTATCTAGGTACAGGAAGAATAGAGCTCACCAATCAGATTCAACTCATCCAAGTCTATCCCCACAAAAAAAAGTGACTCAGATAAACTCAACACATTAAAACAAAATTAGAAAAAACACCTTTCATAAGTAACCTTTTTAAAATTTTAGACCAATGATAACTTGTGTTGGTCTAAATAAATTATCTTCATGTTCTAGAGCCTGCACTATCCGGCTGGTAATAACTAGCCATATGTGGCTAATGAATATCTGAAATGTGACCTGTTTGAAACAAGATGTGTTCTAAGTCTAAAATTCATACCAGAACAAAAGACTTCTAAAGGCAATCCCAATGATTTGTGAATACTTATCAGACAATAAAAATATCTACGTATATATTGTGTTAACACAACTCTGGGTAAGTGTTTGGTCTAATGTTTATGACACCAGTTCAGACACCTGCATCTAACACTGGAGTGCCTAGGTTCAAGTCTCGGTTCTGCTCCCCATTCCAGCTTCCTTCCAAGATACATTCTGGGAGACAGTGATGATGGCTCAAGTGGTTGGTTCCCTTTACCCATGGGGATGACCTACACTGTGTACCTAAACTCCTGGCTTTGGCACTGACATAACCTCAGCCACTGGGGCATCTGGGGAATAAACCTGTGGATGGGAACTCTGTCTCTCAAATTTTTAAATGTAAGTAAAAAGAAAATATGTTAATAAAACTAATCTCTGTATGTCTTTTTTACTTTTTATGTGATATAAATTTTAATTAAAAAAAGTAAATTTTATATCTATTATAATTTTTGCTATAATTTTAAAAGCTTTACAGTACAATGCTAGTTTGCTTAAGCAAACCAAAGGCAAATTTCTCACTGTTTTTGTGGCTTACATTAACAGAATTTGAGGGTCTCTTATACATTTGTTCAACAGATGAGTAACTCAGATTGTAAGCCCCACCCCACCCCCTTTTAAAAAAATCTTGGATCACAGCAATCAAATGGGCTTGGGTTTTTTGGCTTTTTATTTGTGTTTCTCAACTTATTCATAGTCATCAATGGCTTATTTATTACTAGAATACAACAAGGGCCAGCATTTATTTTATTCTTGTTTTCCATATTTACAACTGTAATCACTAAGAAACTATATAGATGCAACATAAGAACATCCTGCAATAGAAGTATCTTTCAATTCTTTGTACTTCTTTCAAGTCATGTAGCAAAAAAAACTATCATCAAAACTTACATTTTAAGGTAAGAAATTTTGTTTTTATCGAAAAATTGCCTATCACTCAGTATTGAAATAAAAAGATGACCATTTTCACATAAAAAAAAGATCAAGGGGCTGGTACTGTGGCATAGTGGGTAAAGCCAACGCCTAGAGTGCTGGCATCCCATGTGGGTGCTGATTAGACTCCCGGCTGCTCCACTTCCGATCCGGCTCTCTGCTATGGTCTGGGAAAGCAGTTGAAGATGGCCCAAATCCTTGGGCCCCTGCGCCCACATGGGAGACCCAGCAGGGGCTCCTGGTTCCCGGCTTCAGATCAGCTCAGCTCTGATCATTGCAGCCAACTGGGGAGTGAACCAGTGGATGGAGGACCTCTCTCTCTCTGTTTGTGTGTGTGTCTCTCTCTCTCTGTGTAACTCTTTCAAATAAATAAGTAATAATTTAAAAAATCAAAACTTATTTTTAATGACCTATGAACTCACAAGTCAGTTCTCCCTATTCTATTAAAAGCAATGAAAAATTTAAGCAATTAGAAAATCATCTGACTTTTAAGAATTATCCAGCTTTTAGAGTCAATTCAAGTCTTCTCTTTGATGCCCCAAGGGTTTGCATACCCTGTGGTGATGCACTTTTGCATGATTTAGAATGGGAGTTTTAGTGCCCCATCTCCTAAAGGCGAAATGAGGGTCACTGTCAAAGGGTCCCCTTGTCTTCAGGGGCCTTCTTGGAGGATTTTAGGATATTAAGGATTTGGAAATTGGCCTCCTTAAAGTTGAGTACTCAGACACCCACTGGAAGGTCTTTGTGAATCAGCCCCCAGAGAAGGTAAACTCCCGTTGGGGGACCCCTTAGCAGCTAAGAGACATTCTGGTGATAGGCACAGACTTACCTGAGAACCTGCATCCAAAGCAAGAGGCTGAGTTTCATGCTTCTTCACCTTACAGCCACTCCTGGAACAGAAGAAGCACAAACAAACTAGTTTGCAATCACATTGACAACTTTCAAGGTATGAGATGGAGCAGAAAGCAGTATGTGCAGATAGAAGCCGAAGCACACAGCACCACGTGAATCACACATCTGCACATCAGAGATGAAGAGACAATTTTTATGTCTCTGAATCTTCTCACGAGAGACAGAGTAAGCAGAGAACCACAGTGAGGCTCATTTTCTGTGGGTTGTCAAATACCAGTATTCTGACCCCTAATGGTTTCTAATCCCAAAAGCCTGAAGTCAGGACAGCCTTAGCAGCTAGACACTCGGTTCTTCTCATCTTTACTTGCTTGGCTCTGACATGTCATCGTTAGAAAAAGCATCACGCTGGACCATATTCTTTAGAAGTCCTTTATTGCTAAAAGCCACAGAAGTCTCATAAGACAGCTCCAGTCTAGACCTGTGTGGTAACAGAGAAGAACTGTGGTCAACAGAAAGTATGAAAACACTTGAGTAACCTGTTACCATTCCTATTAAATAGCAAGATGGAAGACGAATGCCGTGTACTGTGCAAAGTCTGGAACTGGAGAAAGCTTGGACCACCTGTTATTTTTGGGAATACAATTTGTCATCACAAGATTAACTCAGACTCTGTTGTTTTAATGACCCTAATAAAATTTCCAGTAAAAACACCACTCCAACTAAAAAGAGGGAAAAAAAGATACTTTTTTCCAAAGTTATTGGAACGTACGCGACTATTAGTTCACAGTTTTCTTTCACTAATGCTCTTACTAATGCTAACCTCAACCACCAAACTCAAGTTGACTCCAATAAAATTTATTACCTGCTGCAGGCCAGCATTTATCCTACCAGAACAGCCAATTATTCCCAACATTAAATAGCAGAGCAGTCCCTCAAACCACTGCTGTGATGATATTGGGGCCAAGCCAGCTCTGGGTATTGTCAAAGCACCACGCGACACGTGCCAAGCCAAGGGAGCGCAAGCTCTAGCATCTACGGTAGGGAAGGCCGATCTCCACTCCTTTTAGGTACAAACAATTGCAAGGCTAAGCTGACTTATGAAGTGGCAAATGAAATGCAGAGAATCATCAAACTCAGAAATGGAAGCCAACATGCTATGTAGAGATGGCCAGGGCAGGGGTGGGAGAGGAAACTGCCAAAGTCCCAGGGACAAAGAGAAACAACAGCAAGAGTACTTACAACAGAAAACAGAGAAATTTCACTTGTTCAGTAGTCCTGATGCACCAACAAAATTAGAGACAGGAAAGAGACAGACAGATGGAGAAAAAAATCATGTAAAGACTGGAATATTTATCTCTGGTCTGGCAGATGTAAGAGCTGTACATTTCTTTCTATGAGGGGAGAAACAAATGAAAAATGCCATACTTATGAATATTATCACTGGTGAGTGAATGACTAACAGGACCTCAACTCTAATGCAGCAAGAGTGCTAGAAACACTCAGAAATATGTTCAAGGTTACAATGAAAAGTAAACTTCCCAATATTTGCAAGTATATAAAAACAATATTTCACTACTGAGCACTTAAATGTCTACTCACCCAGATCAAAGACAACACATGAGTAAAAATATAGTTGGCAATGTGTCTGATTACCTCTACAATACGTGTGTGTCAACAAGAAGCTTAAAATGATTTTACATACAACCATGCACTGCATAACGACGTTTGGGTCAATGATACATGGCATATTCAGCATGGTGGTTCCATATGATTATGCCGAGTGATGTCAGAGCCATCCTAGTTTATGTAAGTACACTCTATGATATTTGCCAATGGAACTGACTAATGATGCCTTGCTCAGAACATGTCTCATCAGTAAATTATGACTATAATTTTATCATATCTGGTCTACAACAGTCATATCATGGTGTCCCCATTCTACAGAAGAATCTTTTTGATTGTCCCATACAACTCCTCACTCTCTTGAGATTCTACCTCCATATTTATGAGGGCACTTCAAAAAAATCATGGAAAAGGAAGTTTAAAGGTAAGTTTATTTTGGTGCAAAAAAAAAAAAAAGGTTTGAAATCCATGTCTAGTTTTTTCATTAATATTTATTTTCCATGAACATTATGAAGACCTTGCATATGATTTCAATCTTTCCTACGAATTAAGGGATTTCCCAATGTTACACAAGAAGGTTAGCACCGTTTTCTTGTGGAAAGAACAAGAGTTTTCATTGTGTAAGAAATTTTAAAAAAAATCTATAAGGTATATGAGATCACCTGACAAAAAGCAGGATAAAGGGAAAATGCTACCAGCTAAGGGTGGCAGACTCAAGACAGGATACTTTGCTACTGAGCAAAAAGTATAGAATAAATTGCCCTCTCTTTGGCCTTGATTTAGTCTTACCTAACGTTGAGTGTGCTGCCTACAGATCTCCAACACACAGCTGAAAGAGAAGGATTCCAGCATGGCCCCTTACCAATTTTGTAGGCAGAAGCATCCTGCTCTTAGAGGAAGAAGCACCAAGGCAGCAGCATGCCCAGCACCTCCCTAAATTTTGTCTGGACATAGGTAACTAGTCTTAAATGCCCCAAAAGAGGACTGTGAAGACAGCTGATCAGTATTTTCCTACAACCATTCAGCTGCTCACATATAATCAAAGAATAGATGCTTCCATTCCCAGTTCCTTTAGACATGCTGGGGCTGCCAAAGAGCTGACTCCTATGTTGTTCAACCTTCTTGGTGCCAAAACCAGGACTTCTATAAACATCTGGGCATTTCCTTTCTGGTTTAATTCACCATGGCATCAGGCTTCTTTAAGTCACAGTAACGCTAAAGGATGTCCCTGACCGACCTACAATGATAACCACTAACGAGGTACCTCTCATCTTTCTTGTCATTGGCCTTCTTTATATTTGATTCTTAGTAAAATGTCACATGATCACAAAAGTACACATAGTATTGTCATCTACTCAGCCTTGAGTTTTGCAAAATGCAATCCTGTCACAAAATTAAACTGAAATCTTGCATGGAACACAGAATGAGGTGGTTGCTCTGAGAACTCCAAGGACCCTGCGAGAGTCCATCCAGATTCCCCAAAAGAAATGGAACAGGCGGCAGCCAGGTCCACACAGCAAACAACTAAGTAACTGATTCAGTCAGATTGAACTGATCATCTAAAAAATCATACACTCTTGCGGCTGGCGCTGTGGTGTAGCGGGTAAAGGTGCCGCCTGCAGTGCCAGCATTCCATATGCCGTATGGGCACCGGTTCAAGTCCTGGCTGCTCCACTTCCCATCCAGCTCTCTGCTATGGCCTGGAAAAGCCGTAGAAGATGGCCCAAGTCCTTGGATCCCTGCACCCACATGGGAAACCCTGAAGAAGCTCCTGGCTTCTAGCTTTGGATTGGCACAGCTCTGGCCATCACAGCCATCTGGGGAGTGAAGTAGCAGAAGATCTCTCTCTCTCTCACTGTCCAACTCTACCTGTCAAATTAAAATAATAATAATAAATAAATAAAAATAAAAAATTATCCACTCCCAACAGAAATTCACTTCTGCTAATGAACTGGAAACTACACAGGGAGGCAGGAATTCTCACCAATACTTTGCGGTAGGAGAGTTTCCAACAAAAATCACAGCTTTCTGTTTAAGTAAAAAGACTTCTATAAGACCTCTTTGGACCACTTCCCACGTGCTGCTGACACTAGACAGGTAATCTGTAGGCTTGGAATTGTTTGAACCACAGAGAATCTGAAAATGATGGCTAGTAGTGACACTTGAATCTATATATAAATTGATTCCTGATAGCCCAGCTAAAATTTCTGATAACCATCTGATCCATCTGATCCCTCCCTGCCCATCTTGTGCCACACTAATATATATAAGTATATGGGATATGGAGGAAAAGAGCTTAGCTGACTAAGACAAAGATGTAGGAATGAGGCAGATTTCTAAAAGGAAACCCCTGGTATTTCTGAGTTCACACAAGAGTTATATAAAAGAGTAAAAACCACAGTATAAACCTAGAAGCTTTGTATTTGTCCTGCTGCACCTCAAAGATAACTTTAGTTTACCAACACCAAAAGCAGCCAGCTGCAAAGTCACAGAGAACACACAGGACACAACACCCAGCACACGCTATGTCACTCACGTTATTAAACGCGACTTGGCCTTCTTGGGTGACTCTAAGATTTCATTTATATGATTACCAGTGGTAGAACAAAAGTCACTGCTTGTTAAAGTCATAGTTGATTTAAAGGGATCCAAGGATTCGTCAAAGTTATCTGGGTCAAAGTGGTAGGAGCCCTTAGAGGAAAGGGGTGGGGAGTTCTGCAGGATGGAGCGGCTCCCAAAGGGGCTACAGTTGGGGTTGTCCCACTCACTGGGGCCTAGCCTGGAAGATACTTGGGAGAGAGAAGCATCGCTGGCTGCTGGGTCTGGAGGCTGCTCTTTATCTACAGGCTTACTGACACCTTCTTTTTGTATCTTGGGAGTCAGTTTGTTACCCAGTTTCCTGCCAAGTTTCCTTGGAAGAGCTTTTCTGGCCTCTACATTTTCCACATCTTCTGTGAAATCAAACTCAAGTTTGAGAGGTGAGCTCCTCGCCTCCTCCAGCAGCTCAACCCCTGCATCAGTGGTGTCGCTACTGAGCGCGCCTGAGGTTCCTTTAACATCGGGCAGTGATTTCTGGATCCTGGAGCCTCCTAGGATAGAAGGGTTTGGGTTTTCATCCAATTCGTCCACAGCAGATTCAGTTTCTGAGAACTCTCGCCCTGTTGTTTTCTTCCTCAGAGAGACAGGTTTGGGCTTTCGTAGCTTGCTTCTGCTGGGCACAGGCTGTGGACAGGAGTGTCCAGCCTTGAGATCAGCTTCGGTGGGAGCTTCTAGCATAATCCCCATGCTGCCTTCTGTCATTGCCTTGCCGTGGTTGGCTTCTGGCACACTGGAGGGCAAAGCCTCATCCAAGACCACAGTCACACAGCCATCAGCTGCTTCTGTTCCTAGAGCTGCCGGCGTATCTGTGGAATTCTTGGTTTCTATGGAAAATGGCCTCACCACTGAAATCTTGCTACTGTCATGTGCTGGCTCTTCTTTGAAATCCTTGACTGCGCGAGAACCAATGGCCTGTGGTGGAACCTCATTTTCTGAGGGTCTAGAACAAGTCTCAGATGGGCATTTTTCAACCACTTCTGCTATCAGCTGTTCATCGGCTTCTTGTGATTCTAAAACAAAACACAAAAGCAATCTCTTAAAGGATTATCCTTATGAACTGATCACTACTTCCTACTTCCTGAATGTACACACACAAATAGAAAGCTCTTCCCTCACAGTTTTCATTATGCACCTCTAAAGTTTGGTAAGGATGGCAACACAGCCTCAAAGAGAAAACCCTAAAATGAATCTTCCTAACCAAAACTGTGTGTGTTCGCATTATCCAGGTGATATGTAGTGATGACATCAATAGCCAGTTGGTCAGGAGTACTGGGACCACTAGTGTCTGAAGGGGGCAACCCTGTAACACAGAGTCTTAACTTACTCAGCACTTGTACAGACAGGGACAGAGAACTGAACTGCTGCACACCCAGATGGGGCTTAAGAACTTAAGAAATGTGCCTCAAAATAGTGAATATTTAATACACTGCCACTCCAGCAGCTGAGACTTCTAAAAAATGATACCTGTAAACATTTCAATGTTGCTTTTCCTACCAAAAAGATTTAAACTCCCTTTATGTTCTTTTCTACATTTTACAAAATTTACAAATTTAAGAAATTAGATGAGGGACCGGCACTGTGGTATAGAGGGTAAAGCTGCCACCTGTTACACTGTAACATTTATATGCATATGCCAGTTCATGCCCCAGCTGCTCCACTTTCAATACGGCTCCCAGTAACGGCCGGGGAAAAGCAGTGGAAGATGGCCAAAGTGCTTGGGCTCCTGCACCCAAGTACAGACCCAGATGAAGCTCCTGGCTCGGCCCTGACTATTTTGGCCATCTTGGGATATGTCTCTCCCTCTCTCTCTTTCAAATAAATAAATCTTTAAAAAGAAAAAAAGAGAGAAAATAAATTAGAAAACTGTTATTGTTAATAACAACATAAATTTCCCCTGTTCCCCCTTCTGACTCCTAGAACAGCAGATTAAAGTACAGCCTCAGGTACCAAGCTGAACTGCTTGAGCTTTATCATTTGCAGGGCTAGTGGTGTGGCACGGCAGGTTAAGCTGCCACCTGTGGGTCCCAACTGGGTCCCGGGCTAAAACCTGGCTATTCCACTTCTATTCTGGCTCTCTGCTAACGCACCTGGGAAAATTTGGGATGATGGCCCAAAAACTTGTACTACTGCCACTTAGATGGGAGATGTGGATGGAGTTTCAGGCTCCGGGCATTGTCCTGGCCCAGCGCTAGCTGTTGTAGCCATTTGGGGAGAGAGCAGCAGATACAAGATCTCTTTCTCTCTGTCTTTCCTCTCTTTTTGTAACTCTACCTTTACAATGAATAAATATTTAAAAAAAAATCATTTGTAACTACTGATTTGTATCAGTCAAAATTCCCTCAATAACACACAACCCAAATACTACTAAATAAACTAGATTTGAATCAGACTCGGATTTAGCTGTTCTGTATGTTTCAATCTCATAAATCCCACTATTTTTAAAACTAATAGCTTGAATCTTTGGAAGTATAAAGTATATCACCTTCAACCACAATTATTTTAAGGAGAAGATTCCACTGCCTAAAACAATTGAAAACTACAGTTAAAAGAGAAAGTTCATCTCTAAAAATGGAGATATGAAGAAAACGGGAATGAACTGGCTGGCCTTCTAGGAATTTATACACACCACCTTTTAAGAGAACTTCAGCATCTCTCAATTTTACCACCAGTGATCCCACCACAGGTGACAAATCATGAAAAATTTACAAGAGGAGCTGTTTTTAAAGTCTTTAATTGGGGACTAGTGTTGTGGTGTAGCAGGTCAAGCCTCCACCTGTGGCACTGGCATCCCATATGGGCGCTGGTTCAAGGCCTGGCTGCTCCACTTCCAAACCAGCTCCCTGCTATTGAGCCTGGGAAAGCAACGGATGATGGTTTAAGTATTTGGGCTCCTGCACCCACATGGGAGACCTGGAAGAAGCTCCTGGTCCTGGCTTCAGTCTGGCCCAGCCCCAGCCATTGCAGCCATTTAGGGAGTGAACCAGCAGATGGAAGACTTTCTCTCTCTCTCTCTCTCTCTCTCTGCTTTACCTCCTCTCTTTGTAACTGTTTCAAATAAATACAAAATAAATCTTTAGAAAAAAAATAAAGTCTTTCATTTGGTGCCCAACAATGACAGGTAGCACAGTGAGAGAGCTCCCCTCTCCACAAGGAAGAAACAGTCCTGTTTGTCCTTATGGAAAATTATTTTATATTAACAGAGTATGCATTGTATCACACATGGTAGATAGTCAATAAAGGTATTTGTTTTTCCCATCCTTTTAGTCTCTGTCTCAGTAAACTTTCACTACAAATTAAACTGATAAACTGAAAGAAGTGGCTACTTAATAAAACATGGAGAATTTGGTAAAATAAATACTCCTAAAGTACTGATAGTAAATGTATATTTTCATATGTAAGCTTTACTGAAACTGCTGTCTACCCATGAATTAATATAGTCTATATCAAATGTTATGACAGCTCTTTCCTTTCACTTGCTGTGGATATGCTTTCCAATTACATTTGTAAAAACTGGTTCTTTCAGTTTTTATATCTGCAGAAAGGCGATTTTGACCTGGCCATGGGAGCATCTCTGTTTACTTTGAAACAATCTGATTATTTAAATTACGTGGAATAGGGAATACTTGTGTTTTTACCATCCAAAGATTCGGATCTACTTACTACATAAATTCAGACTCTGTCAGTTGTATCTGGGAACCGTCTCAGCCAATCTGCATCTTTGTACCTAAGCCACTGTGTCTGAAGATTCCTACAGACCAGTTTTAACCTACAAAGTGTTGATATCACATGGTATAGGTGCAGTGCACCCTTAATCTGCTTAGTCTTTAGCTAAGGACAGTCTATGAGAGTTATCTAAGTGCTACAAATAATAATCAGATTCTTTCACAATCTGAATGTAGACAGTAAGTGAATGTGTGCAAGAGTGAGGATGGAAGACAAGGTAAAACAGACAGAAGACCAGGTTATCCTAGCAGAAAGGTGACTAAGGAAAGCGGTGCCTAATGACTTTTCAACACTCACCCCAGCTTAGTTTCCAAGAAATTCTCCTACATCTTCACAACATATAGTTGAGCTGGGTTGAGTGGGTGTCTGCCCTAAGACCAGAAGTATCCCCACCAGAGTTCACAAAAAACTCACATTCAAAGATCTGAGGTCAAGTGCTACCACCTCACAAAACATACAAACTTTCTGATACAACAGGATGAACCCTCCAACCAGCAATGCCGAGAAAATAGGATGGGCGAGCACTCAGCACAGTGGTTAAGACACTGCTTGGGATGCTGGCATCTCATATCAGACCGCCTGGGTTTGAGTCCCACCTCCGCTTCTGCTTCAACATCCTGCTACCGCACACCCTGAGAGGCAGCAGGTGATGGCTCAAGTAATTGGGTCCCCGCCACCCACATGGGAGGCCTGGGTTGAGTTCTGGGCTCCAGGTTTCAGCCTGGCCCAGCCTTGGTTGCTGTGGGCATTTGGGGAGTGAAGCAGCAGATGAAGGCCTCTGTCCCTGTGCCTTTCAAATGAATCAAAGTAAACAAACATTTTTCAAGGTATGGGATGGACTGGCTATGGTCTGGCCAGTATTTTTTCACATGTGATTTCAGTTGACTACATGCTCAATATATCCCACTGTGGTATAAATGAGCACAAAGCAAATTCCACCTGAGACAACATTAACAGATAAACAAAAACACCATGACAGCATTAAGTAAAATACACCGAAGGCTTGTATGAACCAGGCAATGAGCTACTGAGAGCTCTGCCTGGATTATTTTATTAAACCAGACAACGGTTTTTAGCCATATGCAATCCTAAGTCTGTCCAACTCCAGAGCCTGGCTGTTAAACCATACATTTGTTAGATCCATTCCTTAGCAGCCAGAATAGTGTCCTGTAGTCTCCTTGATCATAACATCTGGGTTTGTGAATTCGGTTAGGTTTTAAACTCAGTCTGGCATTTCTCATCTTAAAAAACCAAAGGTGGGAAGGCACAGTGGCGTAGTAGGCTAAGCCTCCACCTGCAACACCAGCATCCCATATGGGTTCCACTTCCAATCCAGCTCCCTGCTAACACAACTGGGAAAGCAGTAGAAGATGGCCCAAGTGCTTGGGCCCCTGCACCCATGTGGGGGACCCAGAAGAAGTTCCTGGCTCCTGGCTTTGGATTGGCTCAGCTCTGGCTGTTGCAGCCATTTGGGGAGTGAACCAGTGTGTGGAAGACCTCTCTCTACGTTTCTTCCTCTGTCTCTAACTCCGCCTCTCAGATAAATAAATTTTTAAAAATCTTCTTTAAAAAACGTTAACTAGTTCTTAAACAACATTTTTTAAAAATCATAGGTAGGGGCCAGCGCTGTGGTGTAGCAGGTAAAGCCACCACCTGCAGTGCCGGCATCCCATATGGGCGCCAGTTCTAGTCCCAGATGCTCTACTTCCCACCCAGCTCTCTGCTATGGACAGGGAACGCATTTAGAAGTTCGCCCAACCCCTTGGCCCTCCGCACCCACTTGGAAACCTAAACGAAGTTCCTGGCTCCTGGCTTCGGATCGGCACAGCTCCAGCCATTATGGCCAATTGTGGAGTGAACCAGTGGATGGAAGACTGCTCTCTCTTCTCTCTCCTCCCCTTCTCTGTGTAACTTCCTTTTTTTGGGGGGGGGGGGGACAGGCAGAGTGGACAGTGAGAGAGGGAGACAGAGAGAAAGGTCTTCCTTTGCTGTTGGTTCACCCTCCAATAGCCACCGCGGCCGGCACGCTACAGCTGGTGTATCGTGCTGATCTGAAGCCAGGAGCCAGGTACTTCTCCTGGTCTCCCATGGGGTGCAGGGCCCAAGGACTTGGGCTATCCTCCACTGCACTCCCGGGCCATAGCAGAGAGCTGGCCCGGAAGAGGGGCAACTGGGACAGAATCCAGTGCCCTGACCGGGACTAGAACCCGGTGTGCCGGAGCAGCAAGGCGGAGGATTAGCCTACTGAGCCACGGCGCCGGCCTCTCTGTGTAACTCTTTCAAATAA